AACTTTGTTAAAAGCTGAAATAAATTATACAAATATCGAAAGGGAAACGTTGTCTATAATATTTGCGGTAAAAAAATTTCAGGAATATTTAATAGGGACCAAATTCGTAATAATAACCGACCACAAGCCTCTTATATACATTTTTTCAAAGACACTCAAAGAAAACACTACAATATCGATGCGTTTACAAAAATGAAACTTGGCAATGGGAGCGTATGACTATACAATAGTACATAGACCGGGGAAAAGATATTTAGTGCCAGATTGCTTATCGAGATTACCACAGGAAAATAAAGAAAACATGATAAAGAATGTTGTAGTCAGTGGCGTAGCTACGGGGGTGGTTTTCGGGTTTGGACCCTTCCCAGAGCAAAATTTTTTTTTAGATTATACGTTCAAAAGACTTAAAAGTGATTTTATATCAATTATATTTTTCTGGTTTTGATGTTTGTGGAAGGATATTATATTACTATTGAAATTATTCTGGATAGTATTATTATAAAGTCATTGAGAATAATCTACTCGCCCCCCCAGACCCCCCCCCCCCAGCTTTTATATGTATGGACCCCCTCTAAGGAAAATTCCTAGCTACGCCACTGGTTGAAGTTGAAAAAGTTGATGATAAATTATGGGATATACCAATAAACTTGAATCAATTAGTTAAAGAAACAAAGAATGATAAAGAATTAATGGAGATAATTGATAATATTAGAAATAATGAACCAATAAAAAACAAAACATACAGAAACATGGAAATGGAATTGAGTTTGATAAAACATTGTTTATTTAAAGAAAACAGAGTAATAATACCACTGAACATGAGAAAAGAGATTTTACACGAACTGCATAAAGGACATCTGGGTGCAGGCAAAACAAAAATGTTAGCGAGAGATTATTTGTGGTGGCCTGGTATAAACACGGAGATAGATCTGGAGGTAAAAAATTGTGACTCATGTAATAGATTTTCGGACAATCCTCACATTATACAAAACCCATGGGAACCAGTAACAAAGATTTTTGAACGTGTACATATAGATTTTGCACAATTTGAAAACAACAATTTTATGGTATTTGTGGATGCATATAGCAAATTTCCGATTATAAAATGAATGAAAAACATTACGACGGAATCAACAGTAAAAGAATTGATGAGAATAATAAGCTTATTCGGAATACCACATAAAATCGTGACGGATAATGGTACGAATTTTACTAGTCAATCATTTAAAAAGTTTTGTGAAGATCATGGCATAAAACATATACTTACAGCACCTCATCATCAACAATCGAATGGGCAATGTGAACGGATGATAAAAATTATGAAAATGAGTCTTAAAAGAAATATGGAAAATAACACGAACATAGATTTGGACATAGCTTTAGAAAGATTTTTGTTTAATTATAGAAATACGCTGAATGATACAACAAATATGATACCCAGTATAGTAATGTTTTCAAGAAATATCAGGACGAAATGGGACTTAATCAAACCTACGGAAGATAACGAGAATGTTTTAAGAAGAAAAATATGCAAGAATAGAGAAATAGGAATAGGAGACAATATTTGGTACAAAACGTTTAAAGAAAATATTTGGGACAAAGGAGTAGTAGTACAAAAAGAAGGAAACTTGACATATAGAATAGATAATGGACATAACATTATTAGGAGACATCTTGATCAAATAAAGAAAAGAACAACAAACACAATAACAAACAATAATATTACACGGATTTTTAGAGGGGGAAGAGGTGAAGAAATTCAAAGTCAAACAAAAGTTCAAGTTCAAAATCGGAATTAAGACTTACGATCTAGAAAAACATGATTATTATAAATAAATAAAATATTTGATAAAAATAAATTTTGAAAGCAGATAAATAGATAAATGGAAATGTGAAGGTTAAATGCAAACAAACCGACGATATCTAAAGAGCGATGATACAATGCACAGACGAATTCAAAACAGATCAACAAATAAATAGTAAAGCTTTAGAGGAGACGAACAATGGAGGAACGAACGAAGTCAGAAAAAGGGGGAGATGTTAATATGACTGATTATATTTTATTATTCAAAAAAAATAAAGTTATATAATTTTTTAAATAAATTTTATATTTCTTACCTTGACTAATATTCAAATTATCTTAAAAATTAGTTTTTTGTAAAATCTTATTTTTTGTAAGATATTTTAGTATTGAATAGTAACAACATACTAAAAAACGTTAATTTTATATAATTTTTTATTTCACTTATTTTGTGAATACTTATTAAACTAATTAAAGAAATTGTATATAAACTGTAAAATATTAATGTAAAATATTAATGTAAAATATCATAATAAATATTTTGAAATAAAGTTTATTTTTACCTATACCTTTTATACCGTGCCTTCCATAAATATTAAAGATAAATTATGATATAAAAAAAATTGTTTAAATTGAAAAATAAGGGAGTAAAATTTAAAAATTTAAAAATAAAAATAATTGAAATTTAATAAAAAAAACTTTATATAAAACGCGACAATTCAAAATATTCTATTATTCTATATCCCAAATTATGATTATTATTCTTATTCTATGAATGAATCCGATAAATTATTTATTCCATTATCATCTCAATTATTTCAAAATTATTTTATTCGAGATAAATGATAACTAAATATAAATAATAATAAATAACGAGATGAACAAGCTAATGTGATAATGATGTTCAATCGAATGATTCAACGATAAGGATAACAAGCTACGAACAAACCAATGAAAAAGATATGACTGAGGCTAAACAACGAACATAATATCAAATGAAAATTCTACAACAAAGCAGAAAAATTTTTTAGAGGAGGAAGAAGTGAACAAGTTCAAGTTCAAAATTCACAAGTTCGTCAAGTTCAAAATCGAGAATATGACTTACGACCTAGAAAATGATTGTTATAAATAAATAAAAATTTTAAAAAATTTATATATATATATAAATTGAAAGCGAAATGGAAATGAAATGAACAATACAAACAACAAATCAACAAACAATGTTAAACCAACGAACAAATGATGTTCAATAAACGATTCAACAAACGATAATTCGATGGTTAAACAAACAAACTCAAGCCATACTAACAATAACTAATGAAGCAATCGAGAAACAAATAACGAATGGTAAAGAGGAGAAACTGAAGAAAGAAGTCACTTAAAAAAAGAAGGAAATGTTAAATATATTTTAAATGTTAAAATTATTCGTACGACCTTTCGTACTTTTTCTTTTTGTAAAATATATTTGTATGACCTTTAAAAACTTATTGTACTTTTCTTTTTTTTATATATTAAAATAGCTTTTCTTAAAATAACCTTAAAAATGTACATATGTAAATATTGTTAATATAATAATATATATATAGTTGTAAAAAGATATAATATAAGAAGAGAAATAAAGATAAAATAACATAAACGGTATTGCCTTCCATGAAAATATCACAAATCATATTAAAAATATTTTTGGACAGTGAGGCAACATTGTATTTTTAACTTATTTAATATTATGAAAAATATTTTTATTTGATGAAATATCTTAAAATAATAAATAAAAATAAGTAAAAATATAATATTAAAATAATGCAATAAAATAGAGGGAAAAAAATAATATATAACCTTAAAAAATAAGGGACTGGCTTTATTGTTTTTAATTTTATTTTTTAAGAAATTTAAAAAAAAGTATGTTCTATATTTATTTAATTATATAACTATAAACATAAGAAGTAATAAACAAAAATATAATGAATTTTATTATTCGATTCCACATACATCAAACATTAAAATATATTATTTATATATTGCATATTAGAATAAGAAAAAAAACATGTTTGGTTTCTTTTTAAAAAAATCGCATTATATCAAAATTAACGAAATAAAATGCTCAAGTCGAGTAAAATAAATAAAAATAAAATATTCAAAATTATTCTTGTTAATATGTTCCTTGCGGAGCTTTATATATAAATCAGACCTGCATATTTACAATTTTATGTGCCAAGACCAGGTTTTATATTTTCAGGTCCGGACCAAATTTTTCATAAAAAATATTTTGAGGTCCATATATTAAATTTTATATAGTTTTAATAAGATATCGATTGATACATCTAATGACATTATTTATATGTACTTTAATAAAGTCATAAAAATAACTTTAAATATATGGTAATAAACTCCTAGCCTTTGCTCGGGGTTCGTTCTTATAGCTTGTTTAGTCGATTTTTATACCCTAGCTACAGTCTGGGTTTTATTCAACCAACTAATTTACAACACTAATATATGTAATCTAGTTTCATAAAATGTAAGTTAACCTATCGAGTTCACGACTCAAGTTCAAAACTCGAGTCGCGACTTGAGTCGTAAAAACGAGTCTACTAATCGACTCAAAACTCTACTTTAATCATGGCTAAGCCAACTCGGCAGATTCTCTAAATTTTGATCAGATAAACAAAAACGCTTAGTGCTTAAAGCAACTTTTACTGTTCTTACATATACTGGTGCAGAGGGTGGAAGTGATGTATTATATTAAATAAATAAAAACTTTAATTAGGGGAATTTTAATGATATTTAAGTAATGGTCTTTATTTTCAAAATGCTTATTAGCTTACTAGAATTTTCATTCAAGTCCTCGTCAAATTTTTCTTATCTTTATCAAATTTAAGTATGTGTATTACTAGGAACCAAATTTAATTTCTTATAAATGTCAAATTTTACTCAATCTGAAAAGTTCAAGCTTTTTCCGTAACTTTATCCAGGACTAATCCAATTTAAATATGGGCAAATTATTGTATACTACATACTATTTTTGGAAAAAGTTGTTATTTTTAAAATTTTTATGTAACATCTTATAACTTATATGCAAAATTTTGAAAGTATCTGTATCTATAACTAACTTGCGTACCTTTCACCAATCCTGCTTAGAATAAATTTATAATTTTTAAATAAACGGTCAAAATATAGCACTAACTTAATATTTAAAAAGGGCCTTAAAATCATATTAATTTTTGCAAATTTAAAAGTCTAATAAATGTGCTTGATATGATATGAAATGGTAAATTTTTAATGATTATGATTGCAATATTATATTTGCAGGGCAAGAAGTTGCTTAATAAACCTTTATCAACAAGAGTAATATCCTTAAACAATTCACAAATGTACATATAAATATTTGACTAGTTATATATATATATATATAGAAAAGGTATAAAGCACAAGAAAAAGAAGTCAAAAAAAGGTGGCCCTATACCTGTTAAAGAATTGTAATTCCCCATCTATATTGTTAATTTGAAATATAACCATGTTCATATTAAATTTAAAAGTGGATGAAAATAAGTATGCCAGCACTAACAGTAGTGTAACAATCATCGTCACATGAAATGTTGCAGCCAGGACTAGTCCCTATACATGCACAAAGGGGTTACAGGATGCCCTTAATCTTAATCATTCACAATTAGTGATGGTTAAATTCTAGTTCTGACTACATAGCCATCTAAATTATCACTTAAGACTAGTGTGTTCTCTCAACTTAAGACCAATGTCTTTAATTTAATGACTGCACCATGGAAACTTATTCTTTGCCAAAATATTTCTATGTATAAATTTAACTAACATTCTTTTTATTTTATGAAACAATTTAATCTAAAGTATAAATAACCATAAATTTATATGAGCTGAAGAATTTTTATTGCAATATTGTTGTAAATCTGGTCAAAACTGTTTTCCGATATAAAAAGACTTAGACTGGTTGGACCTGTTATTTTAATTTTTTGTCATGACAGGGGTACTGATACTACTTTTATAGGCTTATCCAATACAATATTGCTGATTTTAAATTAATATTGGGTGATTGCCTACCTGATTTTGTTTTACATATTTAATTATTTTTATATATCATAATATAAATCATTTAAAGAATATCAGAGACCTACAGGCCTGGGTACATGGGTTGGACATATTTAATTTTTTTAGATAGCTGGGTCAGGCCTAATAAATTTTTTTTAAATAACTGGGTCAGGCCTAATAAATTTTTTTTTAAAAATACCCAGGCCATATTTTAAAAAATTTAGTCTGTGCAAATCTGCAGGTCAGTTAAAATGTATCAGATACAGATACATCTTCTAAAATTGAATCTAGATATAGTTACCTTACCTAAAAACATAACTTAATAGAAATGTATCTAAACAGATATAATTTATCATACTTAACAGGGTTCACCATATTTGAACAGAGACTTATTATGTAAGCACAAAGTATTTAAACAATATTTTTATATTTTTTTCTTGTTTAGTTCAAACATCATATAAAAGAATAATAAGAAAATATCAACCTATTTTTATAGTTCTTTCAAAAAAATTATCATTTTAAAACTAGCATTTATTTTAAAAAAATTTAACATTTGATTTTATTTTTATTTATTAAAAGTCAAGGGAATATCAAAAATTGTTTTAAAATATTCTAAATAAATATATTTAAGTAAAAAATTTTGCGCATCAATGGTATCATTTTTTGTAATTAACTGGTGTCATATTCCTTTACATGATAAAAATATCCTTCACAATCTTGAACTGATATCTATAGATTTAAATGGGGAAAAAAATTTATATACAAGTTTTGATATAATAAAGAAAATATTATTAGTCTTAATATTTTTTAATACATTTGTTTAAATATATGCCCATATGAATAAAATGAATTTTTTTGTTCAAATATTTATATTTTTAATATAAGAAAGCATTAAATAAAAGAATATCAAAATGTATCTTAAAAAGTATCTGGAACAGATATAGATACTTTTATTAGATCATCTAGATACATATATCACATTTTTATATCTAGATACTTTAACAACTATAGAACAGGTCTCTTAAAAATATGCTGTTATCAAATTTTAATTAAATTATCATTTAGGTTTATTTACCTATTATATTTATCAATGAACGTATTCATATTGATAAATCATTTACCTATATAGTAAAATGATTGAGTTCCAAAAGTATTTCTATCATGTAGAAATTAGAATCCCATGTAGTCTATGATCAATATATGTTAATAAAATACATAGTTTATTTTCAAAAGAATATACAGTATTGTGATGATTTAATAGAGTTTGCAAAAATAATTTTATATGGATGAGTTTTAATTTAATCGTCAATATGTTTCATTAACTTAATAAATGTTAGTTTTATTTAATAATTTGAACACTTCAAAGATAAATATATTTAATTAAATAATAAGAAAATTAAATTTAGACCCCATTTTATCAGATCTAATTGGTAAATTTAATAATATCAGCCAATAACCAATTTTTAAAAAAGGGAAATAGCATAATAATCATATATGTCACTAAGCCTGATTGCATTGTTACACTACTGCTAATTAAAGATGAAAAATAAAACAATTTTAATATGAACTATTAATTAATTTTATATTAAATATATGATTTTTTTTATAAATTATAAATAAAATAATTATAGAGTTCCCAAGTCCTCTGCATTATTTTTTCAATACAATACTCAGCTTGGTCCACCATATCACATATTAATGGATACGAATTTTATAAATATCAGTCTTAAAAATAAATTAGACATTTTTAAAGGGCTAATGGATTGTCTTTATGCAAAAGTGAACTGTTATATTACAGAATGTGTGATGGGCGAAATTGAGAAATTAGGAAATAAATTTAGAATAGCATTACGGTTTTAAAGAGAATACATATATTAAATGATATTTATATATACATTTTATGGGCCCCTATAGTGATGCAAAATCGCTCCATTTATTTTTAAAAAGGCTTACTTAGTATTTTATCCAGAAAAATTTTATGCAAGCTTGAAGACTTTGCTCATACATGGCACAAAATTTAGATATCTGTTAACGAAATCTTGAAGTTTAGGCAATATTTTTAGTCTAAAATATTGAGTTAGCCTTTTTTAAAAATCGGCTCAAATGGATTGAATTTGCATCAAAGATGCTTTGATTAAATTTGGATTATATGTTTTTTTTTAAAGTATGTTTTCTTATATTTTTCCAACTATTTTCTTTTTAAAAGTTAAATATCAGAATGGTATTGACAATTAAAATCTAAAGTTATTTTTGATATTATTATTAATTTATTTAAAAACTTTAGAACGAGTTTTGTTATCAGAATATCTTGGTTTTGATTTCAAATAAGGACACATAATCATTTAAAGAAATAAATAAATGAATATTTTAGGATTGCAAAGGATCCTAGATTTGAACGAATTACTTGCTTGCATAAAGGAATCTATGCCGATGACTGCCTTGTTAATCGTGTCCAACAACATAAGTGCTATATTATCGCTACATGTGACAAAGATTTGAAACGAAGAATTCGTAAAATTGCAGGAGTTCCAATTATTGGCGTAGCGAATCACAGGTAAAATAAAATATAAAATAGTTTTAAAAAAAATCTATAATAAAAAAAATAAATAATGTAAAAACATAGATTTACTGTGGAAGGAATGCCAGATGCGTTCGGAGCTCCCAAGATGTAATGACTGAATTATTCAGATTATGACAACGCATTTTTTCGCATTCTAATATATTACCCTGTTCGTGACTATTGAATATAATATTACTACCTATAAATATTATATAAAGAAGATATCCTTGATTTTTAGATTATGTAAAATATTTTACTGGTAGTATAATATTATAAATCTAGGTCTAAATGGGGGGGGGGGGGCAAATATCTTGAAATTAATTTTTTTGGACCATCAATTTTGCTTTTTATTAGGGCATTGCCGATATTAAATATCAGATCGGCACCTATATTTACCTTTTTCCAAAAATATCGGATCGGGCCGATACCTTTAAAAATCGATCCGATATTTTTACTTTTCTTTTTTTTGTTATTTTATGTATATTTATTTTACATTAATAATTTTTTCTAAATAATTTTTTTTAAACAATGCAAAATACTTTAAATAAAATAATTTTTTTTAATATGATATCTGAATTATGGAAATATTTTACAAAAGACAAAGATAATTTTGCAAAATGCGTTATCTGTGGAATTCTAATTTCACTGGGAGGAATAATGAAAAATTCAGTGTTGTTAAACTCTACTTTTAAAAGTAGTGCGCTACCGCTATCGTTTTCAAATGAGTAGCGCGCTATTAACTTTTTACGCTATTTTGATTTTTTTTTAAATATTTTTTTTGTAACTTTATTTCCACAAATAAAATATTGGTATAAAAACATGACTATAATTTGTTACATATATATATATATATAATTTATTTATTATTGCACTTTAATAATAATAACATTTCGTTGTCATGAATATTACAAGTATTGTTATTATCTTCACCAAATATTCTATTTTATATCTAGACCTGTGCGCCGGCTTTGGTTACGCTGAAAACTCCGCCGTTTAAGAAAATCATGCCGGCGCGCCGCCGCATATCGGCGGCTCACGGCCGGCGCAGAAATATCTTTCATATTTTATACCTTTTTATTCTAATAATTGGTCAACATCACTCTTGTAATTTTATAATGTCAATCAGGATTTTATGAATTTTTATTTTTTACTATTTTAAAATCATAATTATATTGACGTCATTATAGAATTCAATCAATCAAAAATCTAAAATTCCAAAAGTTACCATAATTTTACATATTTTTAAAATGGATGTATTTACATTTAATAATTCTATAAATAATTTTAGTATCCTAACTCTGGATATTAAAAAATCGATAGTCTGGAAATTTTTTGCAAAAGAATTAGAGAAATTATTACTGCTCTAAGATATGAAACTGCAGAGGTTGAATTTGAATTCGAGGAACAACAAAGAAAATGTCTAAGTACAATAGATTTAACATCAGACATGTTAGATCTTGACAGCATTGATCCATACCCGGGTACCCGTTTTCAAATTGGCAATTCCAATAATAATAACACGTTGGCATGGTATATTAATTATGCTAGAAAGCATATCTGGATTAAATAAGAATTTAATTAATAATGCTTTGAAAAGAATTGGGAAGCACTTTCTCAAATTATGAATCTGATCTGGTAGAAGAACCATTAGCATTTCTTTCAAAATTTAAAGAAACTGTCGAATTTCTTTCAGTACAAAAAGGGCCTACTTTAAACTTGGCGTTACTTTTTTAGAAGTGAAATTGAAACTAATTTAATAGTAAATGATAGTGATAATTCTGAAATTATTTCACTTAAGGAAAATATGCTAAAAAAACTTGCGTTACGATTTCCGGTTTGTAATCCGCAAGTAATATTATATAAGTATATTCTTTTATTTTTATTTAAAATTATCTAGGTATTGGCTTCTCTTTTAGATCCAAGATTTTAAAAATTGACAATTGTGTCAAAGTATTTAATAGAGCAAAATTGCTCAGCTTCAGAATTTATAATAAAACATCTTAAACTTATAAAGAATGATGATAATCAGGTAGTAAATATAACTAATGAGGATGAAAATGAATGATTAAATTCAAGTATTTGACAAAATTGGCTAATAAACATTCAACAAATATAAATTATGATTCCAAGTTAGGTGACTTAGAACAAGAATCACATTTTCTTGGACAAGATATAGACGTTCTAAATTTTTGGAGAGAAAAGAAGAGTGAACTTCCAAATCTTTTCCAGGCTCGACAAAAAATTCTTTGCATTCGGTGACTAACACACCTAGTGAAAGGTTTTCTCTACCGCTGGATAAAATTCAAGGAGATTCATCATTATGTCCCGAAAATTTAAATAAAATAATTTTTATAAATGATAATTATAAAATTACTAAATCGATTTTGGATATAATAAGTATTCTGTTAAATGAATATTAAAAAATATGCCGAGGTATCTGTAGAATAGTGTATATTTATTTGTTTTTTTTAAAAAATTATTAAGCAATTAAAAAAATTTATGTTATAAAAATCTATAACTGAGCCGATTTACGCCGATTTTTATTGACGGCGGCTAAAAATCGGCGCGCCGCCGGCCGTCAATTGCGCTAGCCGCCGATAGTTTCGTCTGCGCACAGGTCTATTTATATCATATTATAAAAAAATTATAATAAATTTAAAACCTGAAAGCCTTCAGGAAATTAGACCCATTATTTGTAATCACCTTATAAACCTTGTTCTGAATTTGTAAGACATATGGATTTCTAAAATAATATTTGCTAGAATGTCATACAATTATTCTTTTTTTGAATCAATCCAATGTACGGTCACTCCTAAATAAGCTCTAAAAATAAAAATACACATATTTACCTTCTATTGTGCGTCCAGAAATCTGCTGTTGTATTATTGTAGGAGACATTTGATAGATTTAATATTAAAGATTCTTTCATTTCTTTAAAGCTATTCAAAATTCTTGCCATCAATGTCTGCCGCCAAAATATCTTGGTACATGGAGAAAAAGTGTTTATCATCCTTTATAAAAGAACCATTATCCACCAAGGATAATGGTTGAACAGTATCTATTATAAAGTTCATTATGACTTTGTCAGAATTTTTGAAATACACCTGGTGTTGGTGAATCCAAATTGCTTAATTTTGTTTGAATTAAATTTGATTTAGAAGTGGATGTATCTTCTTCCATTACCCCAAAACTTTTGAAATATTTTTCAATCTCTTAACAGTCTAAAATTATAATAGTAATACTTAGAATAAAAATTATGTAGGAGATAAGTACATAAAAATGATTGAAATAACTTTTAAAATGTTTTAAATAATGATTCGATTTTTTGCTTAAAAAATATTGATTTCTTAATTCAAAGTGGGGTGGTAAAAAATAAATATCGGATCGGTTTTCAGCCAATATCTGATCATATCGGTGAAAAATATGTGGATCGGCACAGCCCTACTTTTTAGCAACATTCTAAGAATAGAATAATTTTTCGAATCATAAATTTTAGATTAACTGAACTTAAAAATTATTTAACTTGGGCCAGAGATGGAAAAATTGCACGAGAGGTGTGGTCCTTGGTACCCCGATTTTAATATATAAAATTTTGAACATAATCAAAAAAAATAATTAGAGTTTACTATTTAATTCATTGCAAATGTTATTTTGTTTTTATTTATTGTTAGAAATATTAGAGAATATATAGATTTTATTTTTTGTTAAAAATATTGGTGAATAATATTATAGTTTTATTATATTTATTACAATGTGATATTTTTTTGGAGAAACAATATTATCTCAGTTAATATCATAGAATCTTTTGCAGTGGTATATCCAAGATTTTCTATGAGACCATTTTCAGTGTCGCATCTTCAACCATTTTTCTTCTTGGTCTACGGCTATCAATATTGTTTACTAGATTTTTATAAATAAGTTAAGGTTGGGACATATTTTATTCTCCAATTCAGGTCCCTTACGCCTCATTTAAGCGTAATTTATTCAAGCAATGCTAAATTATCCTCTGTGTAATTATAAGAGCATGTCAATTGAAACTTTAGTTTCTAAATAAGTAGCGAAATGATGAAATCGCGATAGCTGTTTATGTATATCAAAAAGTATTTTAGCTGTTATGTATGATTTCTTTAGCGATTAATTTGACATTACTTGTGTTTTACTTATATTTATTTATTTATATAATTGCAAATAAGTAATCCATTGTTTTATATTATATATATGGTAAAGACCTGGAACGAATCGAAAGATGGTATTTAAAAATCTGAGATGAGCTTAAGAATCTGCAAAAATCAGGTTAAAAATGTTAAAATCCAGGTATTGCTAGACCGATTAAAAAAAATGAATCTAAATTATACAACGAAAAATCATACAATTAAGTGTTTAATATTCATGCAATCATACTTTCAATTTTCAAACATCCAAAATAAAGAAATTTTAAAAATTCAGAGACAGGCCAAAAACCCTATTAAAAAAAGGCAGAGCTCAAAAATCCAGGGTCAGGCCTGAAATATCGATCCTTGCAGGTCTCTGATAAACAAGTCTAAAATATCGGTCCGTTTTCATGCCGTAATCCATGATTTAGTTTTTATAATGTAATTTATGGTTTAAATTTTTTTGAAATATAAATTAATTCCACAACGAACCAGACCGTGAACTTCAACAAAGCAAACTCTTTTCAAAACATCAAATAATTAAATTCACAAACTTTTTAAAACTTTAATGAAAATAAACAAATAAGGTATTTCAATTTATAAAAATAAAAACATGTCGAAAACATAATTCCAGAAATTTTTTTTTAACTTTTTGAATTTTTTTAAAATGGTTTTGGTCTTTAAAATTATTCAAACTAAAAAAAAATTTTCCCACTTTCCATTCACAGAATCGTGATTTAGCGATAAGATACCCCTGCATCAAAAACGCCAGCTATAGAGAACTAAAGCTGCATCAAGCTCAAAACTAAGCATCCCAGAATTAAAAAACAGCTTTTATTTAAGCAGCCCTAAACAAAGTCTAGTAAGAATAAATATATTTTTGTAAATATTGGTTCCTTCTCATTAAGATCACATTAGGAAATTTCTTATTAGATATTACATTTTTAAGCCAAGATCCAATATAAAGATAATATCTGGTTTGATAGTCTATTACTCTCTTCTAAGTTCACCCACTTTAGATAATAATTGTTGGAAAAGAATCGAATTGTTTATATTTAATATAATGCAAAACCGATTTTAAAGGCTAAACTGCCATGTTAAGACATAATATTGAGTATTTGTAAACTAGATTATGATTTGACGATGTTCAACTTAAAAAAAGGCCTTATCTCTTTTCAAAAAAAAATTACTTCAAAATATTTTTTTGGGTCCAAAATTGAAAAATATAAACAAAACACATTTTTATAAAGTTATATTAAAAACCACCATTTATCAGTGTTAGAGTATCACGCTACTTTTTCAGTAGCGTTAGCTTTAGCATATTCCTCTAAAAAAATAGTGGTAGCTCGCTATTAAATTTTTAACTTTATATAATTGTTAAAATATATTTATAATTAATTCTAAAATCACAATCTTTTAATTTAATTTTGAAATTTATATTTAAAAATCCGTATTATCAATCTAGTTTTCAAAATAATTTAAAATATCGATGATAGAGATTGACTTATAGATAAGTTTGGTACAGATCAAATTGATAAATTATTTCTTGAAAAATCATGATAATATTAAATTTCCTTTTCCTGAATTCGCAAAATATAGTTATACCTTTAACACAGGGTTTAAGTTACATTGTAAGATGTGCCGGAAGGTTTTATAATCAAACTAGACTATTATCCTTAACGAAAAAACATTTAAAAGTATCATAAACAACAAATTTAATATTAATGTGTAGCCCAATTCTAAATCATAATAATGTTTTATTCCATTTTAAAGTTTGATGTTAATATACGCGTTAATGTCATATTATAATATATTTCTTTATTTATTATTGTCTAAAGCGTTAATACTTTACATGTCCATTTAAATGTTTACTGTTTAAAGCAACAATTGTAGATCGTGATATGTAAATTAGACATTTAGTTATATTAAATTATGTTTAATTTAGATATATATATATATATGCATTATAATAGAAAAAAGACATAATAAAATTTTTTCTTTAAAATACTATTATCATCGTTTCTGTATCTCAAGACCGTTATTAACTACAGATTTCATTTTATCGACCAATTTTCAGTGCAAGCCCATCCCACTTGCATAAATATAAATTTTGTATCAAAGCTGTATCTATAATAGTTTTTGAGTTATATAAGTTTAGGTCAAAGTTGATTTTCTGGCGCAGTCCAATCATGATATGTTTAAACATTGACTATAAGATATTATATAAGAATTATATTATAAATTAAAAATTGCAATTAATATTAACATTTCATTTTATTATCAGACTCATCTAATGATAATATTTTATAAATTATTATCTGGATGTTACACATATTTAAAAACTACTCATCTATTTATAAATTTTTTCAAAACATGCTAAAAAATACTTATTTCAATCCTTCACATTTTAACATTATTATCCCTTACATAATTTTTATTTTAACTATTATTAGTATAATTTTATATTGACCCTAGCCCGATCAAAAACACCACCTACTATGAATGATTATTTTGAAATAAATAATACTTATTTAGACATATTTTATAAATCTAAAAATGCTCAAATGAATATTTTTGATGATTTTTCTTATTAAAAAATATGTATATTAAATTTAATTCTGTGTTATGTGCTAGTGTTGAACGATTATTTATCAGCTTATACTTTCTGATTGTAGCTAACTTAGGATTGACAGTATGGGAATTAGTGATCTGCATTGGGCCTAATTTTTCAAGCTCTGCCCAAATGTTTTTAAAAAAATTTGTTACCCGATCCCAAGCGAAATTCATTTTTATTTGCCCCAAAAAACCCACTACTCCCGAATTTATTTAGTTATGGAAAAATGTAATTTATATTTAATTGTAAAAAATCTAAAAAGAGTTTAATTTATTTGATAAAATGTAATATCGTATTTAAAAATTTAATCCCGACCCAGTCCGATTTAAAAAATGTTAAGAAACCAGAACCAAATTTTTTTTTAAATAGTCCCTACCCGCATATAGGCCCAGCTGTGTAGCAGATTTCTAATTGGATATGTTATTATCATTAAAAATAAATATATATATCATAGACTTGCAAGCCTGGGTCGTATTTTAATTTTATGAAATATAGCAGATCAGGCCTGAAATTTTTTTTTAAAAAATACTCAGGCCGTGTGTATTTAAACAAAATATTTTAAATCGCCATTAACTAAAAAAATTAAAAATAAATATATTTCAAAAAAATATTTTAAATCGCCATTAACTAAAAAAATTAAAAATAAATATATTTCAAAAAAATCCGGGTCTGCTTGAAAATATAAAACTTATGCCAGGCCAAAAGATTTTTTTAAAAATATCTGGGCTGCGCAAATAATACCACTGTAGTAGTGAAGGTCACAGGGTCTTTGGTCCGGACTGGACCGATACCCTCGGACCGGGCCGGACCGCGGTCCTTAAGAAAAAGATCGATCCAGACCGTGGTCCCAAATAAAAAACATATTTTTATAACCTAATTTGATTTGTTTTATCATTTTATTAAATATAAGAGTATTATATAAACAATAAAATTTATCCAATGGTATTGAAAAAAATGATTTTGTGCTTGTAGAGGGCATATTAAAATTAAGAGTAGATTGTGTTTTTTGAGATATTTTCATTTTCATTATTAGAAGTATATATTTTATGTTTTATCAGATGTCTGCTTAAGGTACCTAATTATTTTATTAAGAATAAGGTTAAGTAATTTTTACAATAAATTATACAGACAGTTTCTTTAAAAAAAATAGAACTATATAATAACTAAAATATTTTAATATTATTTCTTATTTTGATTAATTTATTGCTTAAAAAATTATAAACAATTATTTTGTTACTAGGTGCTGACGATACATTAAATTTGGTACTGCAGTGAACACATACTCTATGTTTTTATTGGGACTATAAGTAAAATGTTTCTTGGACAAACTTATGGTTTTCATATTGTAAAATAAAAATTAACAAAATCTAAAATGACTCCTCTAGAAAAATATCATAAAATAAAATATACAAAAAAATTATATTAATTGTATAGTAAAGCAAACTTAAACAATAATAAAAGACCGGTCCGGACCGCAAAAAATAAAAAGACCGGTCCGGACCACGGTCCTCAAGAAAAAGATCGGTCCGGACCACGGTACTCAAGAAAAAGATCGGTCCGGTCCGATCCCGGTCTAATACCGATAGGACCGGACCGTTGACCTTCACTACACTGTAGTCTCTGATATATATTTAAAATTTTATTCATATTATTGATGTAAAAAAATTATAAGGTAGCTAATAGTGCTCTACTTTTTTGTGAAATAGCCATAGCGAGCTACTTTTAAATGTAGCTTTTAACACTGCCATTTAAATAAAACATCATTTTTAAGGCCTGGCCCAATTTTAAAAAACATTTTTAGGTCCAAGCTCAGAACTGACCTTGGTATTAATAATGAACCTTACATAGCTAATGAAAAAAATTACTTTTAAATTATATATTAGTGAAGTGGTGGTGGCTAGCACGTTTGAGATATCTAAGGACGAATAGTTTAAAAAAATGCGGAAAAGAATAAGTAGAAAATAGGATATAAATAGGAATATTTAATTCCCTCCATTTCATAAAATTTTTATTTCTAAGAGACGGGTAAATATTTTTAAAACCTTTTGTTAATTGAAGAAATAGCGTTTGATTTATCATGATCTTGAAGAAAAGATTGAAAATTTTCAAAAACCTGCTAAACTAAAACTTCACGTAACTAACAATTTAATAAAACAAAAGTCAATTAAAACCATTAATTTATTTTTTTTAAACTGAAGCTATTATGCATTCATATAAAAATTATTTTTTGAAACCAGCTTAAAATATAATAAATATCGGTTTTACGACGAATAGGAAATTCTGGAAATTTAGCACAAATCATTTTTAGTAATAAAAAAAAATAAGTATAATAAATTAATATAAAAAAACATTATTGCTTTCTTATCCTTTTTAAAAAATATATATAATAAATATATTTATAAGAATAAGCCGTAAATAAGAAATAATTTGGTGGAGTTGAGTTGAATTATAAATTTTGTTTTAAAAAATCTCAATTTATTTTTTAAAAAAGATGTGACAAATAAAATATTCGATTTAGTTAATAATATATATATAAAAATATATATAATAATCATGGGAAGAAATTACATAATATTATCTATAAAGTTTGTTATATATAAAACTATTAATGCAATTTATTGACGTAATAAATAATGTGTTATAAGAAACGTAGAAAATATCGGTTATAACAAAACAAAGATTTTAGCTATGGAATCGGCGCCGGCACTGGCCATGTAAGAAAGCGAGGGATGAAACGCGACTGAATTAACGCCTTCATCGAATTTTTTGCGATGACATGTAATTTCTTGCACGCAACTTTTATTTTCATAATTCCATAGTCTAATAGAATTGTCATGACCTGATATATATTTTAAAGAAATTTTTTTTTGAATAAAATATATTTACACTATCCAAAAATTTTGCAAGACATAAAAAATAACAGTGTATATAAATAGTGAAATATTTAGTAGGCTTCTCATTTCCATCCCGGAGTCGGGGTATGAATGGTCGGAAATCAAAATGAGTTATAAGAATATTTTCATTAAAGTTGGTAAGTGTATAAGGTGGTTTCGAGGGTTCTTGCGAATGCCTGACTACCCATTGTTTAAAAAAATATAACCATCCAGCCTGCCCATTTACTTAAAAATTTAATTTAACAGGCCAATTCAATTTATTAAAAATATTTTTAACCCGTTCAATCACCCGCTCAATTCTAAAATTGATTAGTCGCATAACTATAGTATGGGAGAGGGGTGTGTTAGGTCGGGTTAAAACCCGCTTGTTGTAAATATTGGGGATGTAGTATATGAACTCTGATTACTCACCTTTTATAAAATTACTCCCAGTGGTCCTTTTCACAGTAAACATTAGATAAGCTGGTAGTCACGTAGATAAGCTTACCCTAGTTCACGATGACCAGAGTTGCCAGATACAAACAAAAAGCGGGAGAATTTAACCATAATTCAAAAAAAAATTTATAACAAATAATATTAACTTTTTGTGATTATTATTTTATTTAAATAAATATATCTAATAGGCAACAGTAAAATAAAGGAAGATCGTTTAATATAAAATTCATAGATATTATTTGAAAAATCAGTACATATTTATATTTTTTTTACATATTCCTTAATATCTTTACAAGTATAATTAAAATTATTTGATCATTAATTCCGCTTTTAAAGCTATAAAGATAACCGATTACGATCTTTCCGCCAGAAATTTTTCATTAAACTAAATATGCGCTCTGAATCGGTGTTTGAATCTGGTAACTAGAATATAATACTGCATATTTTTTCAAAATTTGGCGCAATATTTTCTTGTTCAATAGATGTAATAAAAGCAACGAATTCCTGAAATAATTTATCTAATTAAGATATCTTTTATATTAAAATTTATTATTATTAATTCAAGTCCCTCGAATTTGAATTTATTATCGATAATATTTAGATTATTTACTCAATTATTATTTATAAATTCATATTTTTTTCTAAATAGGATATGATTGAATAAATTAGTTTGATAATGATGCGATTTATCTGATTATCACATTTTATCAAATTTGTCTTTAAAACCAAGCCATAAAAGTTATTGATAACTTGAGCTCTTAAAGCTGTACCTAATTTATTCATTAATCAAAACATCTCCACTGCAATTAAATCTTCAGATTAGAATTTTTAACTACCTTGCTTAAGGTCGTCTCTATATTAAAACTAGGTCTAAATAAGCCTCGGCCTATACATTTTCAAAAAATAAATTTAATATTCAATTGGGATTTTTTTAGGATAAAAAATAATCAGCTAAATAATTTTTATTAAGTCTTTCGAGAACCGGTATTAATGATAGCCATTTTGTTGGAACAATTCGTATAAGTTCGGACCATTCAATATCTTAAGACTCCATATTTTTTTCTAAAATACAGATACCCTGTTTGTGGATCTGCTGAATTCGGCATAACATTTTATAGCAATTATTTCATGCCTATTGATAATGAAGTATGCCCTTTTCTTCCTGCATTGTGAATTATATTGCACAGGCAAACGATATTTTCATTCAAAACTAATAATTCCGTCATTACACTTTGCCTTTTCCCGAAATTCACACTTGCGTTATTGACACAAAAATCAGTTACATTTGATAGCGAAAGGTTACCATTTTCAAGGCTCTGCACGCATAGACGCAATATCCTTCATTTCTCTGAACAGATGAAAATTTTTTAGAAGTTTACTTGAAACATCATTAAAATAGCGCAACATTAAGAGAGTATTTCAATTATGTGATGCATCTGTTAATAGAGAAAATGAATGACTTTCCTTCAAATCCTCTAAGATATGTTTCTTAGTTTCAGGACATAGGATATTTAACACTATGCTTTTGGCTATTTTGGAAAGAGTATAGTCAATAAGTTTGCAGCGCAATCTGTAGAACAACTAAGCGAATGTTTTATCGTGGATAGATGAATGAAATAAATTATTGTTTGAAATATGGTTGTTGATAATTCCTTATTTTTTGTTGAATGTTTTTTTTACATCATGGACTCCTCCATGGCTGATATTAAATTTAGCATTGCATTTTATATATAGACTAAATTCCTTATCTTCTGTCACCCCTGAATAAATGCAATTCCAGATATTGTGCGATTTAAATTTTTTTTGTATGTTAAACTTGTCTTGAAATTGTAATTTATATTTGTTTTTTCCTTTTTCAAAATATGGATAAAAAAATAAGCAAAAACAAGATGAATTTTTAAATGTATGATTGAATTAAAATAAATAGAGTAAGTTTCTGGTTAAGCTATTTTTAATAATTTTATATTAAAAAATTTATAAAAAAATCGGAAGAATTCTTTTCAGGAAAATCTGGAAGCGTGAAAATCGGAAGAAAGTGTAAATCAATCGACAGCGTGTTTGGCGTAAGTCAAAGAAAAAAATCTGGAAAATACGCCAAAAGTGGGAGATCTGGAAACCCTGGTTATGACCTTATCATACGTGTTTATAAGGCATTTAAATATAACTTTCCTTTTCTTTAGAAATAAAAATTTTTAGCAAAACTAAAATCCGTTCCTATTGCGCTTTTTGATAATCTATATATATTCCACCAAGATACTGGCAAAAAAATTGGAATTTGGGTGTTTATCAGTTGAAAATATGGATTTTGTTACATCTCTAATATTTTTAGATTTACATATACCTTATGTTTTTTTGCATATTATAATAAATATAGATTTCCAGTAGACGCACAATGCTCATATCTTAAAATAATAATAATAAACCTTTAGAACTTTAAAAATTTTTTTTAGTCTACATTACACCATGAATTTATTTTTAAAAAATTCAAATAAAAATTTCTAAACCCACAAAAAATGATTAAAGAAAGTAGATGCTATTAATTTTTACTTCCTAATTTTTCTTATTAAATTTACTATTATTATTTTATTAGTGGCATCAGTGGAATCTGAAAAAAAATTTAAAAAGAGAGAAAGTTATATACAATAATGTATATATACTATCGGCGATTCATTAAGTTATATACACATCATTGTGTATATGATAAATTAACAAACTTCCTGTTAAAAGGTATAACCCATAAGGATCTAGAGAGAGACATGATACCGAATCTAAATGAGCTATCATTTTGTGAATGCATTTACCTATACGATAAATATAATAATAACAGCATATAAAATTGTTCTTTAAAATTAAAAATATTGTACCTGTATATATATTGAAAAATCGAATGTAATTATCATTGTGTCCCGATATAAGCACAGGAAACGTAGGATGACAGGCAATGAAGTTAATGTATAACGTATCTAAAATAACAGTTTTAATATTTTTGTTTATTTATCATCCATTCAAATATAATATCAAACACAGTCCACATTCAAATATAATATCAAACACAGTCCAGTTAACTAGGCTAATGCTTGTACAACCTTAGATTCTCTTACATCCAATTACAATTATGACTCTCCTTTAAATTCCAAACCTTCAACCTATACCCATAATCTCCCAAACAAATAATTCACTGCAATTTTAGCACTACTACAGATTTTTAAGTTACACTTCTTTACTAAAAAGTGTATTTCAAACACAGGCCCGATTCTAGTTTTGTTTATGGGGGAGGCAGGGAGTAAAGATTTTTTTAGCACTACAGAACGAATATTATTTGAATACAAAATTGAAATATCCAATGATTAAAAAATACCACTTGAAGAAATAATATATGTAAGTGAAAATAATGTCAAAGAAATCCTGCATTTCAGAGATCATTTCTAAAATACCTTTCCGACTGCAATCTATGAATAAAGCAATGAATGTAAATAACATAGTGTCCAACTACTTTGCTTAAATATGCCTTAACATACCTTTTCTCCACTCATGACATTAACACTGAGCAACTAGGTTATAAGAATTGAGCTGATATTCAATGAAAAGTTCATTAACTGTATTTGCTATTATTTCTTTAGCCTCAAAACTTTTAATTGCTTTGAAAAATACGCAATTTTCAGTCACTATCTTATCACCTTTGATAGTATTTCTGTGTGTGATCGTAAATTAACTTTTTATTGAATATAATAAGCTCAATTATTTTAACCTATTTGCTCAGTGTTATGATGGGGCTAATGTTATGAGTGGATAAAAGGGAGGTGCTCAGCATGCAAAGTAGCTGGGCAGCATGTTCCTTACATTCATCGCTCAATCATAATTGCACTTAGTTTTAAAGGACACTATAGAAATTATCTCTGAAATGGAGGATTTCTTTGACATTTGTTCTCATTTACATAAAATAATTTCTCCAAGTTATATTTTTTTAAATAAAATCGTTGTATATTTCAATTGTGTTTAAAACTCAAATATTCGTTCTATGGCCATCAAACAGAAAGTTTTCTCAAAGTGGTTTTGTGGCATGTTTTACGCTAATTTTTTTTATTTCCGAGCAGAGAATAATAATTTGTCAAATTAATTCTTTTATATAAATAAATTATTTTAAATAATCCGGAAGACCCAGAACGATGTGAATGAAAGTGGCAACGGAAATGACATAAGAATGGATCTTACAGATAGTTATGCCCATGGAGAAGGGGGATCAGAGGAGAAACTGGTTTGTTTGGAGTCTTCATTGTTGAACACAATTAAAGGTATAATAAATAAGCATATTTTTAATAAAAATTAATTTTTTTTCTCTAAAAATATTTGTTTTATTTACTATTATATTGCATTTATTATACATCAAAATAACAATTATTTTTAAACATAGCAAATATATTGTTTTATTTATATGAAATTTAAAAATAATTTATTCATAAAAGTTTTGAATGAACGTGAACGCGTGCCTTTTTTTATAGGTGAACGTTGAACGTAAACGCGTTCGATTTTTTTAGAAATGTTTACAGCACTATTTAAATTTAAAAAATGGGATCCCAGATGATTCTTTCCCTCGTAGATCAAAACATAATTCTATTATAAATGATATGAAAAGTAAGATTGATATATTTACCAGACATATCACATTCAGGTTTAAACGAAATAACGGGTATAAAACTTTGAATATCAAATATAACGATATACGACGAAGCATAAGATACCGCCACGTGATTAAAATTTTCGGAAGGCAATAGATCTAAAGAGGTAGCCGAGTCTTCTTTAATAACATAAATATAATTTAATATCTCAAAATAAAATAGGAAAATAAATTAATTTTTTTTAAAATAAATATATTAGCTTATTTTGTAATTGGTGATTAGATGATCATCAAATAAAATGTATTTTTTTAAAAAAAACATGTGTTTTTAAATTTATCTCAAAAAAAATCGTTTTGAGACTTTTATTTTAAAATTGTTTCATATAATTACAATATTGTTTCTAAAGTCTTAGTAGTTTTGTTAAATCAACATTTTTAGCCAATTCGAAAACCGTTTAGCCGGTTTAAGTCAATTTTTTAGGCTAAAAACTTGAAGTAGTCGTATTGGAGTGGGCTAAAGTGAAGTGATTCATGCGCGTACGCAGGAATTTGGTGTGAGGGAGGGGGATAAAATTTTTTAAATAAAATTATTGTTATTTAAAAATATCAAGCATAAATTTATTAGGACTAATAACTATTTCTAATATACAAATTTAAATTTATATGAATTATAAAAAATTAAATATATAAACCGGTATATAAAAATAAATTTGAATTAAAAAATATTATACGGATATAACTGGCGGCATATAAATACTTTAAATAAATCTGAATTATAAAATATTAAGTGGATATAACCAGGATATGAATGACTATAAAATAAATAACCCATAACAGAAATTTAAATTTTTTTGAGCCTTTAAAATTTATATATAAAGTATAAAAAATTTAAATGTTGGAAATATGAATAATTATATTTTTTATGTAAAAGAAAAATATATAAGACATTAAAAAATGATTGCACAAAAAATATTATAGAAACATTATATTTTTATAATGTAAAATCGAATCTTCGTTGGGATTGAGCTAATTTTTCAATTATCTCATCCGGCTTGGCGTCAAATGCCTATGAATATTCAAAAGGGCCAGACCATTCAATCTACTTTCAGAAGTTGTACTTCTTAGGTACGTTTTTAATCTTCTTAAAGAAGAGAATGTTCTCTCATTAGTTGCAGTACTATTGGGAAGAGTTGCTAATATATATAATAATTTCAATATATTGGGAAAATAATCTAAAAGATGTTTGAAATGATGCAAAGCACCCATAGCATTTTTGGGGACTATATCAACCATATATTATTAAAATTTAAGCTTCCTGAATCCTTGTGGCCACGTAGTGCTAGGCCTTGTAAGCCACAATATAAAATAGCATCAATAGTTAGTTTTATCTTACATCTATTTTCTTTTGCGATTTTAACCCTTTTATCAATAAGTGATGAAATGGGAATCATATCCCCCTTTTGAATAGTCTGACGAAACCATCAGTTCACAGCTTTTGTGATAATTTGTTTTCTGATGATTGTCAAAAATTTCCCCCACATCTTTGTATTTGTTGAAAGGAATCTTAACAAGAGTGTTAAGCTTAACTAGATTTCTGCCAGCATATCGTGGTCCAAACAGGACACATATCTTGCAATAAGCTCCATTGTCTCAGATGGAGTATGCTAGCTATAACCATCTAGTAAAATAGCTATTTTTGAAATTTTAACTTTCAATTAGCATATAAAGTTTGGGGATATTGAAAATTGAGGGGTGGAATATAAATCTATTATTAAATAAAATATTTATCATAGGTATCTTTAATATATACCTTTTTAAGAAGTATATGTCTTTCTTCTAGGCTAATATTATCTTTATTTAAAAAATTGGCTATATCATATGGATGTTCATTGTACTCTAATTTTGTATAAATAAAGATTTTAGTTTTAAGTTTGTCTAAATATTGAAATATAAATTAAAATTATTCTTAAAAAAATTATTGCTGCACATTTTTGCAATCTCATTCTTTTACTAAATTAAATATCTAAAATTATCATTTATTAAATAATACCAGCTAAGTTATTATAAAACTGCCCAAATGTATTTTTAGAATAACTAACCTTTAGATGGCTCTATATCCTGACTCTCAATTATTCTTTCAACAATTCTCATTATTTGCTATTATGGGAGGGGTTTTAATTGCTAAAAATATGGGAGGGGTTTTAATTGCTAAAAATATTTTAAAATTAAAATTTTATTAAATTATTATATACTTTTTTGCTTTTTGGTATGATTTTCACTATCTTCAGTTTTTTTTTAAAAAAATCCATGACTAAAATAATACCGGGAAATTTAAAAATAATAGATAAATATTATGGCAAGGAAAACTTGAAAATGAAATTAATTTATAAAATATAGTAAATGAAAAAGGTAATAATATAAAAATTTAAAAAGAACGAGATATGAATAATTATAATAAAATATAAATGAATATAAACAATAATATTTTTGAAAAATATATCCGGCATCTGCATTTTTTGGCTTTGGGGGGGGGGGGGGTTCGCTGCGTACGCCAATGAGTGATTTAACAACACCATCGTTATTAATGACGTCATTTTTACAGTACTGAAAAAATAGTCATATTACTTATTTTTATACTCATTAAAGCATGATCAAGAGAAAAAAAAATATATAACACAATTTAAAAAACGCAAACCTATATGATTCGAGATATGAGGTGGAAGCAGTCGTTTAATAATTTTTCCGCTTTCAAATACATCCCAAAGTAAAAGTGAGCCGTCGGCAGAACAAGTTATGCTTATGTTAGTCTTAGGGTGAAACTTAACCATCCAAACCGCGTCGCTGTGGGCCTTCTCCAAAGATAAATAGGGTTTTTCGAAGACATCTGTCATAGCAATTTAGAACAAAGTTTGCAAAAAAAATTGTAATATCAGAAATAATTTTCATGCATAAGAATTACAACATATTTACTTATGATTGTTTCTCAAATTCTGATTTTTGAAAAAAATTTATATTATTCAAAATATATAAAAATTTATATTATTCAAAATAAATTGGGAAAATTGATAAAAATGACTCACCACACTGAGATTCAAATTGATCTGTTTCGGGATCGGGCGTTTTCCAGCATATAACTTTACCATCTATTCCACCTGATAAAAAGTATTCACCGTTTGAATTAAAGGTTACAGAGAGAACTGCGCCACTTCAAAAAAATAAATATGGTTTTAATTTCTTTTAAAATGCACTTTTAAATTCGAAATTATATAAGCACAAAATAATTCATTTAAAGTAGTATATTAAAAATACAATATTACATTTTTCCAATTTACAAAAATTAATTTATTATCAAAGATAGTGTTGTTAAAAAGCCCGATTCGAGTCGATTTTTAAAAACAGTCTGATTAAGATTTTATCTAAAAAATATTATATAAGCCTTGAGATTTGGGAAATAGAGGTCCAAACCTGACTGCCATGTATGAGCAAAATATCCAGGCTTACATAATATTATTTTTGACTAAAATAATATTTTAAAATTTGGTTATTCATCAATAATTTTGGCAGAATTTTGTAAAAATGGTTTCAAAAGAAATGGAATAATATGTAACACAAAATGAATGTTTATTAAATGATCCATTGGGCGATTCATCTCTAGTAAATTTGATATAATTTAGCTTTATATAATCAAACAGTAATTTATTATATCAAAATTAATAGTTATTTTAAAAAATCTGTATCAAGATTCAAGAGATAATTTTCGTGCACATTGAAAAGCGATAAATATACAATATTATAAATCAAATGCTAGGGTATTGTGATAATAGTGCATTGTCTAATTCAATAAGGAAAGGCGCATAAATAGTTTATAACAATAGAGTTAAATTTAAAAGAAAATTGATGTGAATAAAAAATATGTTTACAAATTTTGTGTTACCAGATTATTTTGTATAAAAGGAAAGTCCCAAAAGCATCGGTCCCCGTCGAGCTCAACTTTTTAAAATCGGAAACACTAACACCTAAAGAACATTTTTAAATGAGCAGTTTCCACTAATTTTTATTTCTGACAAAACGACCAAAAAAAGCGGTTTTGGACATCAAAACGAATGATTTTGAAAGATCAGTTGATTGAATTAGTTGTAAATTTTACACAAATTAAATTTTTTAGAGCTTTAGCTAAACTAAATCCTGGGCCATGAGATTTTAAAATAAAGGGTAGGCCACATCTGGATTTAACGAATCTCAAATTAATCAAAAAATATTGCTGGAACTTGTAACCTCCTAAAATTTTCGAATGAAAAACGAAATTTTAGGAAAAACATTTTCTTCTCTGAGCAAGCAACTTTCTATGAAGCTAAAACTCATTCCGAAATGTCTGCTCCCTTTAAATTTAAAATTAGAGTTTAGAATGTTTTTCAAACCAAAAAAATATTCGATCTCCGAAGATAATAAAGATTTTTTTGAAATGGGTCAAGCAAAATTTTTTATCAAATTTAACATTAAAATTCTTATTATTTTAAAAATAATTTTTTTGTAATTTTTATGTATAAAAATTCTTTCACAGTGAAATCCAATTTTTTTTACACTTTGATTTTCTTTATAAAAAAATCTCTCATTTTGTTGATCGAAAAAAAATTTATCAAAATTTTTGGATATTTTTAAAAAACTGATAGCGCAGTAGTATCTGGAGGACAGACCCCAAAATATGACAACCCCCCGCTCCCAGGTTTTCCCAAAATGTTAAATATGTTATTTATTATTTATGCTTAAAAGTAAAATTAAAAAATATCGAATAAATTGGTCTAATCCAAATTTACTATATATAAAATGAATATGATTTGGATTCCAAAATCATTGAAACACTTAGACGAATAATACAATTTTAGTTTGTAAGAATAAAAATATCTAATATTGTATACTTGTGACTTCTAAACGTGGCTATCGATTCGATTTCGTTGAATGCGTTTCTACTATAATAAAAGATTTTTTTTAGATATAAGTAAAAATCTAATATTTTTGAAGGAACAAAATTAATACTTTTTAGGAGATATATTTTTTTCGATATTCCAATATTTAATCGTTTGGTCCTCTGAGGCAGTTAAAAGACACGGGAGACAAGGATGAAATGCTAAACATCTAATCGAATCCAAATGGCTTGTTTTTAAAAACATATAAATACAATTTGATCTTTAGAAAATAGTTTATTTTTCAGGTTTATAAAAAATATATTCTAAGGAATAACATTAAGTAAATCTTTTGTAAATGAGTGATTATATATATAAATTACACCTAGGCAAACGAATCATGCATGGCTGCCGCCAATTAAAGTACAGAAGAGTAGGTTTAACAAGTATAAAGAGATATAAAAAACAATTAGTTCAATTACCCACGGAGTGACGATCTAATATGCCAGGTTTTTGAGTTTTTATCGTTATCTGAGTTGGCCATTTGTTCCTGGAAAAAAAATCAATATTTTTATAATACTAGACATGTAAAAAATATTTAAAATGTATTTCTTAATCATAAATAAAACTTCAATCGTGTCATCGTTGACTATGTTTAAATTTGCTAATTCATCATCCAAATCGTTCAACATTGTTTTATCGCCGAAAGTATGGGTGAGATCTATGTTTAAAAAAATTTAAATTATAAGTTAATTCAAATTAAAATCTAAGATATATGTTGTAGGCAAGGCTGTGTCGATCTAGAAACTTTTCATCGATCTGATTACAAAACCGATATTTAGATGCATATTATTTAGCATTTATCTTTGAACCAATGTCATATAAAAATATTTTCTATCCAAAAAAAATAACAAACTGTAAATTGTAGGCAAAACAAGAGACCTTATATTTCCCGGCCAAGGCGATATTTCGTGCATTTATCAAATGCGATGACGTTAATTTGTTTTTAAAATTCCATAAATTATTTATATTTAAAATATTATGAGCAATTGTACTGAATGTGACTCATTAAATATTTTTTTTTTGCAAATAATACGACAAAAACGATTATGTCCGATTTTTAGCGATTATTGTCCAACTCAATTGATGATTTTTTTTAATTACCATTTGTCTATTTACAATCACAATGACATGTCAGATTCGACAGTTTATTAATAAATCGATTAAATTTTACTAAAAACAATTTTTAATAGATATTTTAAGCCCGAACCTATATCTCTTAAACCTTACATTAACCCTAATCCACATCTCTAACCTTTAATTCTACTCTACTTCATATAGTTATTTATTTTTAAGTATATATAATCCAATTTAAAATTTTTTTTACAGTTGAACCCTTGAATTGAGCTATTATAACTTTAAATACTCTTTCTTTTAACTTTAAAATAATAATTTCTTTTAAGCATTTACAAATATATAATTGAGGTTTCTTTTGCCCATTTATTATTAGAAAATTATGTTTTAAGCGGAAAAAATATTAATATGGGATCGGGTTTTCTTTAAAAAATATCGACTCGGTCTGAATTTTTTTTCTAAAACAGCGAATATCGGCACCGATCTAATTGTAATATCGAAGTAAAAGAAGATATTTTTTTAAATCTAAGTTTCACTAAACGCAAGTTTATACATTATATGAAGTTGAATGAACAAAAAATAGAAGATATACTTCCATTTAAACTCAAATTGTTTATAATGAATATTATTAACATTATAAATACAAACATTATTAGAATTAAATTGAATTGTAAATCTAATTTATAATTAAAAAATATATGCAAACAACCCTGTAAATACAAATTTTTAAATTATTATGCCAGAAAGTAGCCTGGCTCAAAATATTTATATATTTTAATACTCAGGCCAGATCTAATTTGATTGATAATGGCCAACTTTTAAAAATTTAATTATGTTATCTATATCTATATATTTATAAAAAATTAAAATAGTGTCATAAAGTTATGTCAAAAAACGTGTTACTTTTTTTGTAAAGTAAATAACTTAGTAAGAGAAAAGAGTTACTTTAAAAGGTAATGTTTACAGCAGTTAATACTAATAATTAATATGATTTGATTTAGAGTCATATTGCTAAATTTTATGATTACTTAATTTTCCATTTTGCATTATATTACCGAAAGATGACAAATTTGGGAGTTGTGACATTTTATTATAATTGATATTTGAGTCCTTTTTATCTATAGTTAAATATTAAAAAAATGTCATATAAATTATTTTATTAAAAAGAAAATATCTATGCACCTTGGTACCATTAGAAGGGGGGGGGAGATAAAGAGACTTGTACCATTGGAAGGGGGATGCAGATACCTTCCATTCATGGGCAGGCCAATACCCAAGTAATAGGCCGGGTATGGGTACAATATTATATTTTCTAACAAGCCTGAGTTTTTAATAAAAAATTTTAATGGGTTTGTGACTTTTTTAATTTAAATTTAGTTTATTTATTGCTAACTTAAAAAAAATATATTGCACTATATTTTTTTAATAATAATAAATTTCAGAATTGCAAAAACTGAATGCCTAAATATACTTAAATTATGTTTATTTTTATAAAAAATAAATTAAATTATTAGATATAGGCTAAAAAAAAATTGAAACTTACTATGGACTTGAGCAGGACTTGGGTAATATTAAATATGGGTCGGGCTTGAGCCTAGAAAAATTTCTATGTGCCTGAATCAAGCTTAATAAAAAAAACTCAGGCCCATGAATATATCTGGAAGAGGGTGATGCAAGATATCATAAAAATGGGGGGAGGAGACTATTTTAAAGGCATTAACATCATTTGAATAAAAGTGAAGAGGGTAATTATAATTTGAATTTCCGTTTTTGCTAACTTGGTAGGAGGGGAGTAAATTTTAGAAGGTAAAATTTTCAAGTGGTAATATTGTCATCAGTTTGGGGGGGGGGGGTGTAAAAATCTCTGTTTGTGTACAATCATTCATTATTTAGCCATGATGATTGAGATGGTGTCACCAGGTCTAAAAGTTTTGTAATTTAAATAATTAAACACTCCAAAAATGCTCCCTCATTTTAACAACTTTGGCTTGGCATCCCAAACCAAACTTCTTAAATGTATATTTAGACCAAAAATATAACAACCTGTTGTCAAACGGCTTGATTTAGTAGATTTTTAATTCAAAATTTAACCAAAGCAATATTACGCAAGCCTCAATATTTCGTTATGAGATGTCCAAACCTTACTGCCATCTATGAGCAAAATTTTTAAGCTTGCCTAATATATCTTGGCTAAAATGGAGTAGCCGTTTTTAAAAATCGAGCCCTTTAACAATACTATAACCATCTGAAGGTTACCAAGTTGCGGAGGTTTAATTTGCTATATAATAAGAATATTTTAAAAACATTCATTCGAATGATGTTTATCATCTTCGTTAAGATCGTCATAATTTGTTTCGATGTTATTGTTCGAAGAAGTCAGGAAATTAAACTCGTTCAAAGCTTCGTTATGATCTAAATCTAAATCGTCCTTTTTTAAAAAAATATATATATACTCATGTTATCTGTGTCACTGGATTTATAAACTCGGATTAAAAAAAATTATTTAAAAAAAGAATTCTTTCTAGCCCTTAATGTTAATATAATTATCGTTAATTATTTATATTAGCTTTACTATGGGTCCATTATGTAGGAATTCTGATTTTTTGAATCTTGATCCAGAGGGAATTCTGTCAGTACATTTAAAAAAAATATATATAATATAAATATAATATTTCTTTTAAGATCGTTTCTTTTACAAACCGGAAATGCAACATTTTAACCAATTATTTATAATTTGCTTTTCTGAATCCTTGCACATTATTCTTAAATATTATACATATGGGGCAAGGTGGTGAGGGCTTAATCGGACGACCAGTTCAGATGATACAATTCAAATATTCTTTTTGAAAAAAATGCGTTGACTGCATTTAGATAGTTTAGAAATAAAAACAAAAATGCAATCTATTTATTTTGTAGGACAAATCTTTTCAAATGGTCGAGGTCCTAGCTAGCCGGGTATGGTCTAAATGAGGTCAATGATTAGACTATGTAAAATATGTGCTAAAAAATTTGAAAATAATTTAAGATAACGGTTTTTTAGATATTATTTTCATGTCCAAGTGGAGAAAAAAGATATGCCAAAGTATATACGGTACATGGAAACGTTCTGTTGATTCTATGATGAAATATTTAATCTTTTTTTCAATAACCTTTTTGTTTGATGTCCTATATTCTATAGTAAATTAGCTATATGGAGGAAGGGGGGGGGGTGATCTATCCCATAAAAATAAATTAATGCTTAGCCTTCTCTTATGAACTTGCGTTTTTTATATAGATTAAACAAAATTGTGATACAAAATTAAATAAATCAATAACACATAAATTAGTCCTTCAAAACAAACATTTATCATAATTTGGTATGATGATTGTGTAAATGATGTATATAAACTTGTATTTATGGGGATTACTTAATTCATATTACATTAAAATAGATCTAAACTAACTATATCCCTAGTCTTAAAATTTTGCAGTCAAGCAATTTTTTAGAATGTTATATGAAATTTTCCATAAATAAAAACTGGTCACATAATGTATCCATAAATTTTTTATACTTTCCTTAAATTCCGGCCAACCTAAAAAAAATACAACAAAATTTATGAGATGAGCTATTCTACACTTACATATAATTTTTTTTAAACAGCTTTTAAATGAAGATTGACTCTTATTTTATCTTTGTTAGAATAAGCCATAAATAATAAGAATAAGAAAAAATAATATTAATTTTTGGGTTAAATGGACCAATTATAATTATACCTAATCATACCTATTAGAAAATTTGAAGGTCAAATATTTAAAATTATAGGCATAATTATTAAGGAAAAAAAGGTATTCTGGTAAACAAAATCAAAATATAAATCAGGAGATAGCCCCCATTAAGTAATCAGCTTTCCCCATAAAATTCATAATTTAAAAGTAAAATCAGTAATGTAATTTTTAAGTTGCCGCTTGGGAAAGGGGCTTATATTTATTTTGAATAAATTAGACTAAAATTAATTGTAATACAAACATATAGGGCAATAATCAGAGTATAAATAAACATGGGCAAACACTTATTCAGTTTATTATTATGGGTAGTACTTCTCAGTAGTCGTTAAATGTCCTTATTTGAGCCAATTTTATAAAATGGCTAATTCAATATTTTATCGAAAAAAATATTACGCAAGCCCCAAGATTTTGTTTATAGATGGCATAAATTTTGGACATCTATTAAATAAATTTTGAGGCTTAGGAATATTTTCTGGTTAAATATTGAGTTAGCTAGTTTAAAAAATAGGATCGAGCCATTTAACCACCACTTCTCGGGTATGTTTTTATTCTGGTTAAAGATGAAAATTTTCTTTCATTGGTAGAAGTATTACTGGGTAGATTTGCCAAAATATATAATAGAAAAATAGTCAAATGATATTTGGAACATTAGCTAGTAATTCATCATGTGATACTTTAAAATCCTCACAATAAAAATATGCCAAATATTTAATTTTTACTCTATCAAGATTTGAAATTGATGATTCTGTGGCAATAATATTTGCAGATTTATAAGTGCTCCCGATTAATCAAGAACCTTTCAATCATTTGAGATATAAAAGTATTTAAGACAGAGATAATGAGATTTATTTTATGGTATCAACGACTCTATATTATTTTGGATCAATAAGCTTGTTTTGCTGTGAGTTGAGGAAGGCAAATATTAAATTTATAGATCTCTGCTTTTGACTCAACAATGACATTTAATTTATGAAATTCATAATAATATAATGCTTTCAGTAATATTGCTAAACAGCTCGATTTGAGCCAAATTTTAAAACTGATATGTTAGCCAGAAAAATATTGCTTAAGCCTAACACTAATAGATGCCCAAACCTTTGTGCCATATATGAGGAAAGTGCCCAGGCTTGCATATTGAAAATTTGCTCAAATCGAGCCATTTAACAAGCTAGTTGAGCTATTCTCATGCAATGTAATTTTTTTTGAAATTTACTTTAGTTTATTAGTGAAAAAGTTTCAAATGATTTGATAGGAAATATAATCAATATATTGCTAAGGAAAATTTGAAATCAATATTAATTCATAAATTAGGACATATTTATTTCTGCTATGAATGTAAATTGGAATATATATGTGATAAGATATAGGGTTCTTTCTTTCTCAGTGATATTTTTAATTTATTTAGCTGAAATATAAATTTATTTTTTGGCTTGTGGGTGGGGCTGGGAGTTGTCCCCTTCTGGGCCAGCTCATTTGTAGAGAATTTTTAAAATTTTTAGACAAGGTGGGGCTAAACCCATTTTAAAATTCTTAGCAGGCAGATTGATCTCTAATGAGAATTATTATAAAAAGTATTCCATAAAATGTTTAAAATGTCACTTTAAATATCTAATTTGATTAAAATATAATTTCAATGATACTAACCATCAGTGTTGTTAATTAGCTAAGTCAAGACAAAAAGGATAATCTCATTTAGAGAATTTAGTTATAAAAAAAATCTAGACTGACAACTCATAATCAGGTTTCAGTATTTGAGTAAATTAGAGGTCAATATTTATAACTAAATCCATATGCATGTTGGCTAAACCCCACATGCAATATATGGCTAAATTTTAAATTTGATCAATATATAGAGGTGATCAAAATTTTATAGAATAATTTTGTTAGGATCAGATTTATAACATGAGATTGGATGGGATCAAACTAAGTTGGTCATCTTTGAAAAAAAAATTTGTATATATAATATTGATTTTAAACTTACTTATCTATTTTTTGGTCTTTGTTATATTTATTAGAACCTAGCATCATTTCTTCTGAAGGGAAGTTAGTAGAATTTTGATTTTTATCTAAAAATTAACATGTTTAAAAAAAATAATAATAATATTAATACTTTGATTTATATCATTATTTAAACTTTTTTGGTAAAAAAAGTGTTGTGATACTCTGGGAGATTTGTAATCATTTATGTCTGAGTCAAATACATATTTTATGTTTCTATCCATATCGAGTGAATTGTTCTCAATATTATTGGAAGAAATCGGCTGATTAATTGAAGGTAGAGAAAAGTCATAATTTTTTTCTAGGTTTAAATTATTAAAATAGTCATTTTCATTATTAAATTTTTCATGTGCATATTGTGTAGGATTATTTGAGTAATTATTTGACAATCCCAATAGAGTACGAACAGTCTGTGTTCTTGCTTCTATAACAGAGTCTGCATAACCAATTTCTTTTAAGTATCTAAACTCCAAATATAAAATATGGTGTAATTTTTAATAATATAACTGTTGGAGTAGTTGTCGCCCTTGCTTAGATGGAATTTCTGTAAAAAGATCATTTTCTTTAAGTTGGGAGATTATATTTGAATCTTCAGCTGACATATAGTGTAATTAATAATTTAATAAAATTTTACTTTCATCTTCCATAACATTTTGATCATCATCTATGCCACATTTTAGTTTATTATATTTCGATCTACATTCAATTTAGATTAGTTAATAAATATTTTGATAACCTTTCTTGAATTAAAGCATATTCTAACATTTTGATTCTCCTTATCATATCCTTTTTAATGTTTTCCTGCCCTTTTCTTTCTCCTTGTAAAAATGAAATTTTGGCCTATTAACATAATTGAGGACAAAATAATAAAAATTTTATTACATATAACTCAGCCTTTTCTATTTCCCATTGAGATTTTTCAATTTCAAATTTGGTCCATTGATGTTCTAAATAATGTATAATACCGGGTAACGAGTAATTATAAGAGTAAGTATTTGTATCATTTAATAAATTATTCGATGCTAAGTTTTGAGTTTTATCATCATGATGCACATTAAGATCAAATTCTTCAGATGTTTCTTGCATTAATTCTTGCACACAATTAAAAAAAAATAAAAGTGGATATTTGAAATAAACATCCACCAAATATTAACATTTTAAGATAGCCCATATGAAATTCAAATTCCTAATTATTATAAATAGCTTATAGCCCGTCAAGAATAGCCGTGAATTATAATTTTCTCCTTATGATTATAGTTGAGTCAGAAATTTCACCTTTATTTGATGATATATAATTCTGAGATCAGGTAATCTTATGAGGTGTGTGAATCAGAATTTTATCATTATTTGTAGTGTTTAGGAATAATTACAAAAAAAGATTGTTTTCTATCAAATTAATTTAATTTTATGTAGTCAAATCCCAGCTATTATATTAAAATAAGAACTATCTATAATTTTAGGTGAAGGCCAATTTTTTGCCACATATATAATCTTGACCGACCATACACCATAATATTTTATTATGTGTTATGACAAATATAAAAAATAAATATATAGAATATATTTATAGGTAAATAACCTTTTTAAGTAGTAGCGCCACTGGAGGGGGGGGGAAAGGCGGATTGAAAAATCACTCAAAGTTATGACTTTTTTTATATCAAATGTAATTATGGATAATGTTAACTAAAAAAAGGTAAAAGAAGGTAATTTTTAAAATAATTATAAAAAAATTTTCTGAGCTCTATGTAATTGTTTATTAATTTATATATTATATAAATTTTATTGCAAATTCAAACCTCCTAGTGTTATATACAATATGATACATAGTATTTTCATTATATCAATTATATTACAATATTCAAAATTAATTTTCTTATTTAATTTATTTCTAAATAGATAAATCGTCATATAAATTTCAAGATAAAAGCATTATATAAATTTATAAAATCAAAATAAAATTATTTACCTTGATCATAGTACAAAAAAGTATAAGAATCATTTATTTTTATTTCATGGATAACAAATAATGATGCAAACATTAATCATTAAGCATTATAAAAAGTAAATTGTTAGAATTGTTGCAGTGAACACAATTTCAATCCATATTTTTCTCTATAACTTAATTTTTGACTCCAATAATAAGAGGTATAAGGGCAGACCTGATTTTGCCATGATTCATTAATAAGTGGTTTGCCCAGGTTTTCCCAATTTCCCTTATTACAAATTCATGTTTTTTGTATGTTTAGTAGGAGTTAACCCGTAGACTAATTGGTAAATCAGATATTTCATTTCCCTTTCATTAATTATAAATTTAATATCTCCGGGCTTAGGAAAAATTTTTCAAAATTATTATGTGTTGAACTGGGTTAAAAATTATTCCTCAAAATTAATATTGGCTTGGTTTTCAAAAATATTAGGGATTGAGCTGGGCTTGGGAAAATTTTTAAAAATTATCAAGGTCTTGGATGCTTGGAAATTTTTTTCAAATATTATAGGCCTGAACCTAGCTTAGGATTTTTTAATGTTAAATGTTAGTCTTATACAGTAATATTTTTATAAAGAAATATATTTTGATTCAAAAGTTTTCAGTAACCTAAAAAATGTAGAGATCATTTTTTTTTAAAAATTAGCCTAAATTTATTTGGCAAGAAAAACAAATTTCTTAAAAAATATATAAATAAATGGCATATAGGTTTTATAAGTATTGAATGGCATTTATGTAATTGTAGAGTAACATGAATATGTGCACAAAGGTAAAAAGGTGTTTATTTATATTTAACTTTATTAATACTATTAATACTATTTTTTCCATTTCACACTTCTATTATATACATTTTTTATAAGTCCAAATTAGAATATAAACGAAATACAAAAAAGTAAAATAATATTAAAAAAGTAAGGTTACGCCGTTTATAAAATAAAATTAGATTATAACAAATAACAAAAATTATATTATATAAATAATAAAAATTAGATTATAAAAAATTCAAAAACAAAAAGAATTCAAAAACAAAAAGTATATAACGCAACATTCTCCCTCTTCTGATAATTTCATCGGAGAAGTCATAGAGAGTTTGTTGTCCAAGTGGTTTATCATTTTGGTAATCAAGTTGTATCACAAATCATCATAACGTTGGCTTGTCCCAATCGTTGGTTTGATCAATTCGATTTTGCACGTTGGTTTGTTTAATCACAAGCTTGATATCCATATCGTAAATTGTCTCCATTAATCATAGCTTGTTTGATAGTACTCAATTGTTATTATCATTTTTCCGAAATTGTTATTATCATAAATAAGTTGCAAATAAGAAATAATAGTTCATCATAAGAATAAATGAAGAATGATAAATCAATAAGATTGTTATATTTTTAGCGTTTTAATTTTTTGCGTTTTAATATAAGCGTTTTAATATTTAATTTAGTTTATGCAATTTAACATTTATTTTATATTTTAAGTTACATAGTCTTTTAAATAAGCAGGTTTTTTTTAATTCGCACAGGTCTAAAGATAGGTGTTATATCGTTATTATCAGTAATTTTTATATTTTTGTCCATACTTCCCTCCTTAAAAGAATCCTTAGAGTCATAGTTAATAATTGTGTTAAAACAGTTTCTAATTCTTATTTGATCTAAATGTCTCCTCAAAATACCTTTCTCAGTCTTAATTTGGAACATCATATCACTTTCTTTATGTGTGATCATACCTTTGCACCATTTATCATCACCTTGTATTTTATACCAAACAAAATCTCCTACATTAAAAGTTCTATTTCGTGGTAAAGTAACGTTTATTTTATTCTCCTTCTCCTCCATCGGTTTTAATACGTCCCATTTAATTATAATATCTCGATTAAACATTCTCTGTGATGGTGTAACTCCTGTAGTATCATTACGCGTATTTCTGTAATTAAGTAAAAATTTGCTAAGTGCGATATCTGGGTCTATTTTAATATTCCTTTTCATATGTGTTTTGAACGTTCTAACCATGCGTTCAACCTGGCCATTATTGCTGGTGATAAGCAGATGTAAGCACATGTTTAATACCAAAATTTTTGCAAAATTTTTCAAAATCGTTACTCGTAAAGTTAGTGCCGTTATCAGTAACTATAGTTTCAGGTATTCCGTATAGAAATAGTTTTAAAGATTTCTTTTAAAGTAACATCAGTCGTAATATTTTTAACAGGAATAATAATAGGAAATTTGCTGTAGGCATCGACTATTATCAACCAATTTTTTGTGAAAAACGGACCCGCATAATCTATATGTATCCTTTCAAACGGTTTGGTTGCCGAAACCCATGGTTTTTGTATCTTTATAGGATTATCATGATATATATTACAATCGTCACAACCTTTCACTTCCATAACGATATCATTATTTATACCAGGACACCACATGTAATCTTTGGCTAAGGATTTGATTTTTCCTGCTCCCAAGTGACCTTCATGTAATGACTGTAGTATAGTTTTTCTCATAGAAGACGGAATTATGATTTTATTGCTTTTGTAAAGACAATCCTTAATTATACTTAATTCCAATTCAATGTTTTTATAAATATTATTCATTATAGGTCTGTTGTTATTAAAATCATTTATGACTTGTTTTAATTCCGTATCTTTCAAAGTTTCATCACGAATTTGATCAAAATTAATAGGTAAATCCTCCAATTCATTTATTATGGTTACATCTTCAATAGTTTCATCACGACATTCTTGTGGTAATCTTGAAAGGCAATCAGGAACAACATTATATTTACCGGCTTTATACTTTATATTAAAATCATATCCTCCTAATGTAATATTCCACTTCTGGAGTCTTAACGACATAGTGCTATTATCCTTAAAACCCTTGGTGAAGATGTGAACTAGAGGTTTATGGTCAGTAATAATTGTAAATTTTGTGCCCATTAAATATTCCTGAAATCTCTTTATGGCGAACATTATAGCGAGAGCCTCACGCTCAATATTGGTATAGTTCATTTCAGATTTTAATAAAGTTCTCGACGCGAAAGCTATAGGTTTTTCTTTACCATCTTTTTCAATATGAAATAGTACAGCTCCTAAACCACATTTTGATGCGTCAGTGGCTATCCCTATAGGTAATTCAGGGTTAAAATATGTCAAAGCAGGTGGAAGACTAATTAACTTCTTTAGTCATTAAAACTTTTAGAGTGTTCTAGGTTCCAAGCCCATTTTTCTTTATTGACAATCTTATAAAGAGGATCGGCAATTTCCGCAAAATTGTTCAAAATTTTCTATAGTAGCCAGCCATTCCCAGAAATGTTGATAATTCAGCAGCTGATTTTGGTTCTGGCATATTAATTATTGCTTCAATTTTGTCGTGATTAGCATGAATCCCCTTAGCGTCAATATCATGACCCAGGAACCTCACTTTGTTTTTAAAGAACGCACTTTTATTAAAGTTAGGTATTAGCCCATACGATGATATCCTATCAAATACTTTTTTATGTTGTTTAGGTGGGCTTCATCGTTTTTTCCAGTTATAAGTAAATCATCAATATAAAATATAACGTCATCCATGTCACCGAAAATTTGATCCATAATCTGTTGAAAAATTGCAGATGAGGTCTTAAGCCCAAAAGGAAGTCTAGTAAATTGGTAATATCCCTTATGCGTAGATATGGTTAAAATATTTCTGCAACTTTTATCAATTGGAATCTGTAAGAAAGCATTTTTAAAGTCAATCTTCGTAAATTTCTTCCGAAAGTTTAGCAATTAGATCATTAATTCGTGGTAGAGGGTATCTAAAGTCTTCTAGAGCTGGGTTTACAGTATCCTTAAAATCAGCGCAAAGCCTAATGCTCCCATCTTCTTTGTAGACAGCGGTAACAGGACTTGCCCATCGGACATCATTCACCGGCTCAATTATTTTATCATGTATCCATTTTTTGAGTTCATTACTAACAAGATTTTTTTTTGAATAAGGGATACGTCTAGGCGGTATAATTTTAGGTTGGGCATCACTTCTTAAATGTAACTTGACACTTGCTTTGTTGATTGGCCCATTAGTTAATTTCGATTCACACTCTTTAATCAATTTTTTTATTTCATCTTCATAATTAGTGTCAATATTTGCTATAAATATATTTAAAATATTTTTGAAAGCATTGATCCACATACGTCCCAACAAGGCATTTTTCCTTGACTCAACCACTACCGCTTGTAAATATTTGGAAATACCATCATAAGTCACTTTAACTTGAGTAGTTCCTATGATTTTGATTAATTTCCCATCATAAGCCGTGAGTTGTAGCTCGGATTTCTTAAGATCTCTAATACCAAGTTTTTTAGCCAGACCATGAGGTATAATAGTGTATTTGGATCCAGTGTCCACTTGCATACAAGTAACAATGTCGTTCACTTTTAAAGTAGTCATAAAAGCGTTATCTTTGTCATTAATCATATCGCCAGATAAATTGTTGACATTAAAATCATTATCATCTTTGTTCTTTGTAGAGTCGCCTTTTTCTTCAATAATTTCTTCAATATTCATGTTGTAATCATTATTGTATTGTATTTGCTTTCTATTATTTTCGTCGCCACTTCTATAATTATTTGAGTTGTTGTTATATTGTATTTGCTTTCTCTGATTATTATCATTACCTCTATAATTATTTGAGTTGTTGTTATATTGTATTTGCTTTCTCTGATTATTATCATTACCTCTATAATTATTTGAATTGTTGTAATAAGATTGGTGATTGTTACGATTTCCGTCACCGTATTGGATTTGTTTTCTTTGATTATTATCATACCATGTATTATTTCTACCATAATTCGATTAATTATTATTATTATAGCGATAATTGTTATAGTTATAATTGTTATAATTATCGTGGTATCGCGAATTATTATTACCATAATTGTATCTAAAATTATTATTGTGATTCCCATTTCTATATCTATTATCATAATTATTTCTAAAATTATTTCTAAAATTATTATCACTTCTACTGCAAAAATTTTTATCTTTATCGGACTTTTTATCCTTATTTATATAACTTATATCATTATCCTCCGACTTAATATTACTAGAATCCAATTTCACCCCTAATTCCACCATCTGATTCAATGTAAGGTCAAAATTTTTGGAAAATTTGTATTTAATCTTATCGTTTGAGGTAGATGTCCGTAATTTCTCTTTTAATCTACTATCGTCCAAAAAATTACATTTCTTATGAAGTTTCGATACTCTAATGTACCACAGCATAAAACTCTCTGATGAGTTTTGTTGAAGAAGATTAAATTTATTAATTAAAGTATTTAAATTTAGCGCTGGTAAAAGATAGGTTAACTTTTTAATCACAATTTTAAGATCTAAAATATCGGTATCAGAACAAATTGCCTTAATGTCGTCAAAAACTTCGTCTGATAAATTATTAAGCAAAGTATTAATTTTAATAGAGTCCGATAATGTACTGGTCGAAAAGTAATTTAATATTCTGTCTAAATAAATTTCAGTAAGAGGACCCACTAACTTAGGGATCTTATGTGTAAATTCTTGTTTAATTTCCATATTTAATTAATAAGACACATAAATAAGCAATTATAACATTTATTATTTTATTAATTCAAGTTTTGGTATAACTATTTATGTTTTAACGAATATACAAATTAATTCAATGAAATCACTATCGCTGTAAATATAGTGTTTCCCGTTTAATAATTCAAAGCAATTTATCATGTCTCTTAAATTCATAAATTCAAACAGTACATCCTCCGTACCGTTTATCCTAGAAAAGTTGACATCGCAATTATAAGTTAAATCAAATAGAATATCGTAGATGGAAATTTGATGGGGTACATTTAGTACTTTGAAGGCAAACATAATTGATGAAAATAATTTTGAAATGACTTACCCTTTTTTTATCCATCTTATATAGAATTGTTTGTACAATTTTATAATTTTTTTTATTAACCATATTTACAAAGGGAAAAAAATTTTATTTTTAAAAAAAAATTTCCATGAGGCGAGTTTCTTTTGCCAAAACTGGAGCACCATGTAGAGTAACATGAATATGTGCACAAAGGTAAAAAGGTGTTTATTTATATTTAACTTTATTAATACTATTAATACTATTTTTTCCATTTCACACTTCTATTATATACATTTTTTATAAGTCCAAATTAGAATATAAACGAAATACAAAAAAGTAAAATAATATTAAAAAAGTAAGGTTACGCCGTTTATAAAATAAAATTAGATTATAACAAATAACAAAAATTAGATTATATAAATAATAAAAATTAGATTATAAAAAATTCAAAAAACAAAAAGAATTCAAAAACAAAAAGTATATAACGCAACAGTAATTTAAATAGATAGCATTTTTTTTTACTTAACATAAAGATATAGATAGCCCTTATCAAATTCTTTGATAAATAATTTCGGAAATGCAAGACATACACTAAATTTATCTGATGAAAAACAACAATAACCCAATATAATAAACAACAATTTATTTTTTAGATATAATTTTAATTGATCTTAGTACAAAAAGTATAAGAATCATTTATTTTTATTTCATGGATAACAAATAATGATGCAAACATTAATTATTAAATATTATAAAAAATAAATTTTGTTAGAATTGTTGCATTGGACATAATTTTAATCCATATTTCTCCATAACTTAATTTTTGGGGTTATCTCCAATAAAACGAAGTAGGATTTGATATTTCTTATTATAATATTAGGGCAGACCTGATTTTGTCATGATTCTCTAATAAGTGGTTTGCCCAGGCTTTCCCAGTTTCCCTTATTACGAATTCACATGTTTTTTTTATATGTATTCTAGAAATAAGTCATAGACTAATTGGTAAATCAGAGATTTTCCCTTCATTAATAATAAATTTAATATCTCCGCGCTTGGGAAAAATTTTTCAAAATTATTATTGGTTGGACTGGGCTTAAAAAATATTTCTCAAAATTAATATTGGCTTGGTTTTCAAAATTATTAGGAATTGAGCTGGGCTTGAGAATTTTTTTTAAAATTATATATCAAAAATTATCTAAAAATATTTAAATTTTGATTAAATTTTTCTTTTAAATCTTAAAACAATATATTTTAAATTTTAATACTATTTAAATTAACCAATATAAATTTTTTTTTTAAAGTATCTGTATCTTTTTTAATACAAAGTTGGTTAAGATACAAATACTTTTAAATAATATGTATCTTAGATACTGGATACAAGATACTTTCCAAAATTTTAAAAAAAATACAAATATCCGCGATACTGCCCAACCCTGGCTATAATAATGATCAGTTATGTCTAAATTTGAGACAAAAATTTACTGTACCTTCCTGGCAGCTAAAATTTAAAAATATAAGAATACCTATTTAATAGTTTGAATTATAACTTATATACACTTAATCAGTTATGTCTAAATTTGAGACAAAAATTTACTGTTAAGGATCTTGAAACAATAATACATTGCTCTTGATTTTCAGTACTACAAATTGATTGTTGATTTTCAGTATTTTTTGTTAAATGGCAGGAATCCATAAATATAATATAATGTATCAGTTATGTCTAAATTTGAAACAAAAATTTACTGTTAAGGATCTTGAAACAATAATACATTGCTCTTGATTTTCAGTACAATTTGATTGTTGATTTTCAGTATCTTTTTATTGAATGGTATCTTGTGCAGGAATCTAAAAATATAATAAAAGAGTAACTAAATCAAAAAATTTACCAAGAATATCTATTGTATAAGTTAGTTTCAGTTCAGTTGTTTGATTTATCAGATAGTTTGTAATGGAAGATGAATGAATGTTTAATATGATTCTGTGGTGATTTTCAAAAAGAATGTAAAAAATTTATACCTATTTAATAGTTTGAATTTTAAAGTAGCTACAAACTTTGAATCGTATCTTCTATTTGATTAATTTTGTCAGATTAAGGGAAAAAAATTATTTTGCTAGATTATGAAAAAAAAACCTTTGCCGGGATTCGAACCTAAGTCCAATAACCCATTAGATTTGTAAGCTTCGTTCTTGCCGATTGGGCCACATTCAAAATTGAGGATTTTTTAAATATATATTATAGATTGAAAGTGTGACAGTGTCAGCGTAACGGTATTTTTGTGACAAGGCTTTTATATATTATTATAGATGATTTTCATGGATTCATTCTCTACAACCTTTCGGTATCTTAGCCATTCGCTACATCTCTCCTGCACCTTCTTTATCCAATCAAAACATATAAACCTTAATGGCTCAAATATCGTTTAACATTGAGCGGTCCTCAAGGATCCCACTATCGCTTGCACTACCACGCCGTCCTCATACACAATTCTGCACCAACCTTTGTCCCCGATTGTACTCATGAGTTGAGCTCACATGCCATTAAACTTCAAATAATCCATAAACAATCCGCTATTGATTGAACAGCCATGATCACTGCATCCACCACCATCATTTTACTCCAAATGTTAAATCTTCCTCCTTTTCATTGCTAAATAGTCATTAATAACTTGCCCATATATATCGATGGACCTATTTGATGTATATATAACTTTAATTGACTGAGCAAACTATGCTAGGGTATCTTCGATATACCACATCAAATCTAATTTTTATAACTGGTAGACCAATCTTTAATCTTAGCACCTACCATATCGACCATGGACTAAATTGAATCAATTAATCGAAATAATAAGCGGGGACTATGGTTGATAACCTATAGCCCAGTTCATCATATGCGATTACTTAAATTTAATAAAGATGAATTTAATTAAAAAAGGAATTTATTTGGATAATAAAAGTGTTGTTTTTCCCCTTATTATTTTTCTAGAATACTTATATACCTTTTTTAAAATAGAAAAGGGTTGCTCCGTGGTGCGACTCAGACCGCTCTTTTCAAATAACCTCCCCCCCTTTAATTTATCCCGTTTTATCATAGCTTAGGAATAACCACGGGTTATCCGTGGTTCGGCTGAGGCAACGCTTGCAAATAAACCCACGTTTTCAACCCTTTTATAAAATTTATCCTAGACTATGTGGTTAAATCATCGTCACTAAAGCCGGGTCCTCATCCTTGAAAATACCGATATAGCGACCGTGATCGAACCCTCTCTCCACTCATCGCTCGAGGGGCCTGCCAATACGGCCCCAACCATTAATTTCAACTAAATAAATCATCATTAAATTATAAAAATGTTGATTAGTCTTATATTTTAAATTTGAATATTTATTTATTTTTAAAATATATTAACGTTATATCATTTGAATATCTATATTATTTAAATTGATTGTTTAATATATTCAATTAACTTTGTTTGATATTTTTTGTATAAATAGATTGTGATAGAAAAAAGAAGTTAGTAAATAAAATTTAAATTTATATTATTAAAACAAATTTGTTTAACCATATTTAAAATGGTGCCCCGGTTACGGTGGTACGTTTCTTCGTTTTTTTTAAAAAAAAAAAATATATAATAAAAGTTTAAAAATTAAAATATAATAAAAGTTTAAAAATTAAAATTATATCCTTACCTTGAAAATAAAATAATCAAAGAATTTATCCGTTTTTTTTGTCGATTTCTTTTGTAAAAATAAAAAGTAAAGGAATTACTTATCATATTCGTCGTTCGATATTGCAGATGATAAAAGGACATATAAAATTTTTTTGACTTTTCTTTTCGATAGTCAAAATTTTATCCAAATTTACAAAATTATAAAAGGTAAAAAAAAAAAGTAGAAATAAAATTTAATTTAAAATAAATATAACTTGTTAAATTTACTTGTTTTCTTTCATGGCTTCCCGTTACGTTTTTGTAAAAAAAAAAAGAAGAATATATATAAAATTTGCCTAAAATTAAAATAAAAAAGTAAAAATTAAATTAAATTCGAAATTGTGATGACTACCTTATTTATTGATTTAACTACCTATTGTGACGATTGCTTAATCCATTGAGATGACTCTATTTATATGACTACCTATTGTGGTGACTACCTATTGTGACGATTGCTTAATCCATTGAGATGACTCTATTTATGACTACCTATTGTGGTGACTAACTATTGTGACGTTTGCTTAATCCATTGAGATGACTCTATTTATATGACTACCTATTGTGATGATTGCTTAATCCATTGAGATGACTCTATTTATATGACTACCTATTGTCTAGACTACCTATTGTGTTGATTGCTTAATCTATGGAGATGACTAGAATCAAACCTTAGCACTTTCATGCAAAAAGCTTCTTTCTTCATGGTGTCCTGGCTCTGGATGCTGGAATGGAATATGATAACCAGCACCTAACCTAATGTGACAACCTAGAAAGAACCAATATGGAAGTTGGACGTTAGGTTATGAATTTTATATTGTGAGACCAATGATGATCACTTATTATTCTAATCCACGTAAGAAGAAAAGTTATTTGAAATTAAAATTTTATGCCGAGATAAAGGCATATTGTAAATTTACTTATTAAATGTAAAAATTAAACATCATTATTTTAGAAAAATATTGTGTGAAATTTAAATTTTTTTTAAGAGAGGGAAATGTGCATAATATTTGCATATTTTTACCTCGGAGATTGAAAATAAATAAAAATAAATTAAATATTAAAACGCTACTAATTAAATATTAAAACGCTACTAATAAAATATAAAACGCAATATTAAAAAAAAAAACGCGAAATTTCATATAATTTTTTTGATTTATCATTCTTATGTTATTCTACATTCCAAAAATTTTATTCCAAATTCTTTTATTCCAAAATTTTATTCCATATATTCAAACTTGATCCTTATAATAATGATAACGTACATCAACTTTTCTAACCTACAAAAACGTATGGACTCACGCAACTCTAATAAACGATTTTATCAAACCTACGTGATAGAATCAAGCCTACGAGAACATATGAGACTTATGCGCTAACCAAGAAGAAACCGAGTACAATCGAAACGGGAAAAACTTCTAGGACAACAAGCTCTCGATGACTGCTGAGAAGAAGCTTTGTGCTTTGTAGAAGAGAGGGAATGTTGATTAGTCTTATATTTTAAATTTGAATATTTATTTATTTTTAAAATATATTAACGTTATATCATTTGTATATCTTATATTATTTAAATTGATTGTTTAATATATTCAATTAACTTGAAAAAAGAAGTTAGTAAATAAAATTTAAATTTATATTATTAAAACAAATTTGTTTAACCATATTTTAAAAAAAATGTAAAACTTCCAAATATTCATAACATAGAATTATTATAACAAATTTCAATAAATCTTTATACAAAATTTTGCAATTCCGATAATTATTCAACAACATCAATAATCAGAATTTAAATTTTATCCTATTTTCCAAATTAATATCTTTTTTATATTTTCAATAATGGACATTAATCTCCCAAAGCAATTTCTATAGATACCAACATTAAGGAAACTTAATTGTTCAATATTTCTAAACAGAATTTACTTATTTAGATACGTAATCGAAAATTAAATCAACCCTTCCCCTGCCCTATCAAGTATTAAATCAGTAAAGAAGCAGCCATATAAGCACGGATTGGCAAATTTATATGATCTTTATGTTAGGTTAAAAAAATTGATACTAATTTTATAACATTTTCATTTTACAACTATAAAAAAATTATTATTTTTACTAAGTTAAAAAAATTGTATTATTTTTATTACGTTAAAAAATATATAAATGACGGAAGCACATATAAAATTGCTTATTTTTTTAACAAATAAAGAGTTTTACTACATTTTCATATTACAACTATAAAAAAAATTATTATTTTTACTAAGTTAAAAAATTTGTATTATTTTTATTACGTTAAAAAATATATAAATGACGGGAGCACATATAAAATAGCTTATTTTTTTAACAAATAAAGAGAAAATCATGCGAATGTATTGTGTAATTTTACATTTAAAAAATTAATTGGGTCAAATAAAAAAAAATTTTTTTTTATAAATAAAAGAGAAAGATAATTTTTTATATTTTTATCTTTCCTTTTTTTTTAAAATAAAAAATGTTTTCTTTTTTTAAAACAGTTTTGCAACTATGTTGTTGAATATTTATTAAAAATATCATTTAGCTCAGGAAATTTTAATGCGAGGAAATTGATTATTAAAAAAGGAAGACCTAAAACTTATTTTAATCAAATTTTTCATTCGCATTTTTTCTATCATTGAATATGAAATTTTTAATTCATTACTTTATTGGTCATGGCTATTATTCCTGTTACCACTCCTTAAATAGGATTGTAATTTATTTGTCGAAGCTAGTGGGAGAGACTTAATACAAATAAGGAACCTAGTATTAAATAAAATTAATATATAAATATTTAATAATTTCGGTTAATAATCTTACGAATGTTACACTTCCTTATATGAATTGTAATCAACTCTAATTTCTTCAATTTAAAATAACTCTAAATTTCTTCAATTTAAAATAACAACTCTAAATTTCTTCAATTTAAAATAACAACTCTAAATTTCTTCAATACAAAAAAAACTACGTACTTATTTTATTTTAAATTTTTCCATTTATATACATCTTTTTAATATGCAAAATTACAAGTATAATGAAAATTCATAAAAAAATAATGAAAATTACAAGTATTCATAAACATAATTAAAATTACCAGTCTATAAAAAAAATAATTTCCTTGACTACATATTCAAATTAATATTTAACCCTCATCGATTTATAATAAAAATTCATAAAAATTAAAAATATTAAGATTACAAGTATGTATTCTAATAATTAGTACACAAATACAATTCCCAAAGGAGAAAAAATGTTTGGATAAGAAATATTTTTTGAAACAAAGGGCATAAAGAATCATCAGTCGATGTTTTATAATTTAATCGAATTGACAATCTGATAGATTAAATGAGCATAATATCAATCAAAATTTTACTAGCCGAATTCTGTTTATTTATAGATCTTAATATTTAATAAAAATAAAGAATTTTGAAATTTTTTCGCTAGAGTAAACTTGACTCTTCGTCACTGAATTAAATATAAAGTCAAACCTATATAATTTGGATACCGTTGAGACAAAGATTTATGCTAAACTTAGACAGTTGGTTTATTTATCAAGACTTCTTACTTTAAATAAAACATTTTACCATCTGTTATATAATTAGTTTAGCAAATGGTAATATTAGGTTTTTTTTTATTAATTCATTAAAATCGTGAGTAAAATTATGTATATAATACATTAACTTATACAAAATAAAAATGTATAAAATTATAAAAATACATTAAAAAATAATTTTTGAAAAAAAGATGATGTCATCTTTATTTGTTTATTTGATACAAGTTTTATTTGTATGACGTTTATAATATCTTCTTTAGATTTATTAATATTGTGAACAATTTATTCGGAAATATTAAATCTTTTGATTATATTTTTTTTGAGTATGATGATTTAGTAAAATAATAACCGATTTTTTTTTATAAATGAACGATAACTCATTCTACTTGTTTTCTCTATTAATTTTGTTATTTGACATGAGTAGCAAAGAAAAAAATATAAAATATGCCCATTTTTTAAAGTAGACAGTTGCCTAATTTATATAGGCATTTTCTAATACTAGTTAATGGGAATTTGATTGGGACTCAAATTTTGGTCTAACTGGGAAGTTTCTCAAATTATGAAGAGCCCAAATTAGATATATACTATGTATATAAAATTTATGAGTATGAACTGTAGTTCTTGGCCCAATCTCTTTTTTTTTAGGCTACAGCTATTTAAATAAGTATACGTACTATAAAACAAGTATGTCTGGTTTGTCTACAAACGTATAGAGCTGTAGAAGGTTCCTCATAATTAATTTATATATCCTCTTTTACATCTGATTAGATGGAAATGAGGAATACCTAACGTAGCTTCGTTGTAATCACAACATGAATGGGAGTATATGCTTTAAACATATATCACTTAAATTCATTTTGTAAATTTATACATAAATATAAAAATAAAAAAGTATTTTTAATACATGTGATTCCAAAAAGAAAATATAATATAAAAATTTAATAAAAATATTATCACAATTACTGCTGCTACCTCTAAACTCCACATTCTATTACATTTTTAGATACAGTGGATTATTACGCATATATATATTGAATTAATAATAAATCATTTCCATCAATTACCCATTAAACCAGAATGGCAATGAATGGAAGAATCAGATATATAATATATTTGTATGATAATATGAGTAATTGTAGAACAACGGAAGGTAAGTAAAAAAAGTAAAAAATGTAAAAATTAATTCTTTTTATTTTATTTTTGTAACTACTAATAAACTAATAATTTTACAATTTTATATATAATATACAATTTTTAATTTACACTTTTTACATAAGTTTTTTAAAAGGTTAAATTTTAACAAATAAAATTTACGAAAATTAGGAAAATATAAAAGGTCATTAAATAAATTTAAAAGAAAGAATTTTACGAAAAGGTCATTAAGAAAAATATAAAGTTTAAAGGTCATTAAATTACAAAAGTAAAAAATATATAAAGTTTATGAAAAATTTATATATTAACATTTCCCTCTTTTTTTTAAATGTCTTCTTTCCTCAGTTTCTTATTTACACTTCCAGTCATTCAATTGCTCCATTAGTCATTTGTTCGTATATCTTTAGATTGTTTGTTTGACTTATCGTTTGTTGAATCGATTATCGAACAACTTTTATGAAACATCGTTGGTTGCCCATCATTGTTGATACGTCGTGGGTTGAACATTGCTTGTTGATTTGCTGTTTGTATTGATCATCCCATTTCCCTTTCAAAATTTTATATATATCTTTTTTACAAAAATTATTATTTATTTATAACAATCATTTTCTATGTCGTAGTTCATATTCTCGCTTTTGAACTTGACTTTGAATTTTCGAATTTTGAATTTAATTTTGAACTTGAACTTGACTTTGAATTTTTGAATTTTGAACTTGAACTTGTTCACTTCTTCCCCCTCTAAAAATTTTTTTCCTTTGTAGTAGAATTTTCAGATATTTTGTTTGTTGTTTAGCCTAAGTCATATCTTTTTCATTGGTTTGTTCTTAGCTTGTTATCCTTACCATCTAATCATTCGCTTGAACATCATCCTCACATTAGCTTGTTCACCTCGTTGTTTATTATCATTTTTATCAATGTTTGTAAATATATATTATGATCAATATATCTCAAATAAAATAATTATGGAATAATTGAAATGATAGTGGAATAAATAATTTATCAGAATCATTCATAAGAATAAGAATCATAATTTTGAATATAGAATAATAGAATATTTGGAATTGTCTCTTCTTATATAATAATTTTTTATTTTTTATTTTTTATTTAATTATTTTTATTTTTAAATTTTACTCTTTTATTTTTCAATTTAAACAATTTTTTTATATCATAATTTCTCTTCAACTTGTTCTTTATAAAAAAATTTCTCTTTCTCCTTCCATCTTCAACATACGATCTCCATATCATACTCTTAATCTCTTTTTCAACATCAAGATATTTAATCACCTTGCCCCTCTTTTTAATATTTGTTTTAATTTTCTTTATTTCCAAAGTTTTTTTAAATTTTTTATTAATTATAAAAATTTTTATTTTATTATTTTCTTTAATTTTTATTTCATTATTGTTTTTAATCAGACGCGTACGCAGGAATTTGGTCTGGGGGTGGGGGGGGATAACAAAATTTTTTAAGAAATATTATTGTTTTTTAAAAATATCAAGCATAAATTTATTAGGACTAATAACTATTTCTAATACACAATTTAAATTAATGTGAATTATAAAAAAATTATATGTAAAGAATCACTTAAATGACCCAAAATAGAAATTTGAATTTTTTGAGCCTTTACACAAAAAGTTTCTTAGGAATAATTGCATTTTGTATGTTATAAATTTACAATGTAAAATCCAATCTTCGTTGTGATTGAGCTAATTTTTTAATTATCTCATCTTTGCTTGTCGTCAAATGCCTATGAATATTCAAAAGATCCAAATCTTCAATCTACTTTCAGATGTTGTACTTCTTGGTATGTTTTTCAGAGATCTGTAGGCCCGGCCCCCAGGCCGGACATTATTTTAATTTTTTTAAATATACCCGGGCCGGGTCCGAAATTTTTTTAAAAAAACACCCAAGCCGGGTCTGAATTATTTTAAAAAAACACCAAATCCGGGCTGTATTTTTTAAAACAGCCTATATTTGAAATCTTTATTATTAGCTATAAAAATCAAAAATAAATATAATTTATTTTAAAAAAATCCAGGCCGGGCCTAAAAATTTTTTAAAAAAAGCCGAGTCGGGCCTAAATATTTTTTTTTAAAAAGCCGGGCCGGGCCTGAAATTTTTTTAAAAAACCTAGGCCAGGTCTTAAAAAATCTTTAAAAAAAATCCGGGCCGTGCCCTGCAAATGGTACTTCTCCAGACCTCTGTTATTCTTCTTAAAAAAGAGAATGTTCTCTCATTAGTTTACTAATGGGAAGAGTTTATAAACCCTATACATTGGGAATTTAATCTAAAATGTGTTTGAAATAATGCAGAGCATCCACAACATTTTTTGGGACTATATTAACCATAGTTAATCTTATAAACATAGTTATTCAGCTAGTAAGGCATCATAAGATACTTTAACATATAAATAAAATCTAACAAATATTTTTTTTTCTATCACCATCTGAAAAAGGTTGGAAAGGCTTTTGTGGAAGTTATTTGCAGATTAGTAAGTGCTGCATGATGAATTAAAAATTTATTTATTTGGGTTATAAATGTATCTGATTTAAGATATACTCTTCTACTGATCCTATATTAATGTTTTAACGATGAGCTTGCCTTGCTACAAGTCGAGGAAGACAAATATTAAACACGTATAGCTCTGCTTTTGACTCAACAATAAAATATAAAATATGAAATTCTTCATCAACATTAGTCCTAATTTCCTTGAGTTCTGATAAAATGCTCTCCGCTATTCTCATTATCTTAATCAAGTCAATGTCATGTTTTTGAAAAGTAATACTTAAAATAATTGTATAATTAAATAATACATTCTAATGAGAAATAAAATTTGGAATAAGCATTGTATCCAATAATTTTCTTGCTTCTGAGGAAATATTTCCTTCAGGCCATTGTGATATTTCAGTAATAGCAAATAATTGGCTCTTCTAACTCCTTAAACTGTTACTGCTTGATGGCAGAGACTCTATCTCGTTGGACTTGCAACTTTTTCCCTGTTGGACAAGAAGTTTCAGAAATAATTATTATTTGACTAGAAATTTGAAAATGGTAGATAAATATTACGCCACTAAAAATTTGAAAATAATAAGTAAATATTACGCCGGAAAACTTAAAATCGAATTTAAATGATAAAATAACTTAGTAGATAAATGCGATAAAAAATGTAATTAAATATATATTTAATATGACGAATAAATATTAACATATATAAATTAATATAAACAATTTGAAAAATATATCCGGCATCTGCATTTTTTGGCTTTGGGAGGGGGGGGATTTGTCCCCCTGCCCCCCCCCGCTGCCTACGCCGATGATTTTAATGACTATTATTTCTTCAATTGTTATCATATGATTTATTTCTTTTAATTTATAAGAATTTATTTCTTTTTTAACATTTGGTATTAATTTTCATAATTCAATTTTATTCAAGTTATTATTATTATGATATTTATAATTATAATTTTCATGCTTTTTTTATTGTAATATGTACCTTCATAATTTTTACTATCTACTTTTCTATTTTCCTGGATAATTTTTACAAATTTATTAAGTATGTTTCCAAAAACTTTTATCCACATCCTTCCCAGAATAGCAATTTTGTCACTTTGGACTACATACGCATCTAAGTTTTGAGTTTTGTCTTCATATCTCACTTTTATTTTAACGATTCCTAGCACCTCTTTTCTTTTCCCATCATAGCCAGTCAGTTTCGTATCCGATTTATTCAAGACTTTAATTCCTATCTTTCTAGCAATATTAATCGGCAATATTGAATACCGCGACCCGGTGTTGATCTGCATGACTATCGGTAAATCATTAAGGTATATCATAACTTTGTAATAATCATTTGCCTTGTCATCATCATCCATTCTATTTACGTCAAATCTGTTGTTGTATGACTGATTATTATTTTGATTATTATTGTATCTCGATTCGTTTTGATGTCTATCATATCTATAATTATATTCATTATATTTGTAATTATCATTATTATTATATCTATAGTTATTGTAGTTGTTATTATAATCAATTTTATTGTTAAATCTTGTAAAATTATTATACGGTCCTGGCCCATTATACCCCCTATCATTATCATAAACTCTAGGATTATAATTGTTTTTATATCTTGGTTCATAATTATTTGTATGTCTCGAATCAAAATTATTCCCACAATTATCGTATCTCGGTTTCCACTGATATCTGTGTACGTGCGACTTCATCCCTTTATCGTGCTCATCGTACTTCATAATCCTTAAATTTTTTTTTACTATCTAAATAATCTTATAATTAATATATGGATTTTGTTTTATCATTATTGTTCTATATAAGTTTATTCATATTTTAAATATTTCATCATTAAAATTTTATTATATTTTTTTTTAATTTTATATTTTAATCATCTCTTACGTGTTTTTGGAATTAAATATTAACATCATTTTCCATAATCCTCTTTAGTCTAGTTTCACCATGTTCCAGTATCTAAAATCATGCTAAAATTTTATTTACATACGCTGCTACCATTTTAGAACAACGGAAGGCAAGTAAAAAAAGTAAAAAATGTAAAAATTAATTCTTTTTATTTTATTTTTAACTATTAATAAACTAAAAATTTTACAATTATATATATAATACAATTTTTAATTTACACTTTTACATAAGTTTTTTAAAAAGTTTAATTTTAACAAATAATTTACGAAATAGGAAAATATAAAAGGTCATTAAATAAATTTAAAAGAAAGAATTTTAAGTAAAGGTCATTAAGAAAAATATAAAGTTTAAAGGTCATTAAATTACAAAAGTAAAAAATATATAAAGTTTATACAAAATTTATATATTAACAAGTAATATTTTTAGTTTCCTATATTTTAACTATTACCTAGTTTGTTGAAAGGAGTTATAGTCCATCCGTATAAATAAACTTTCGTTTCGTTCATTAAGTCCATATGTTAAATTCGAAATTTGACTGCAATCATTACCAAAGGAAATGCCTAATTATTGTAATATAATTTATTATAATGATAATTAAATAAATATACTTTAGACATTGTGCTGTAAAAAAATATATCCATGCAGATTGTGTCATGATAAAGAGGAAGATCATCAATTAATTAGCAAAAATGTGGAAGAAATTAAATGTGTCATTTGTGGCTTTATTCAATTAGTAATTCATTATATATTAACTTTTTTCAATTATTTGGTTTAAAATATCTTTTATTAAAATGAATTTAATCAATTTTCATATAGTAATTCATTATATATTTACCATTTTCAATTATTTGGTTTAAAATATCTCTTATAAAAATGAATTTAATCAATTATAAAGGTCCAAAACAATTGTCAAAAATGTGGAACTAAGTTTGGGAAATATTACTGTAAAAAATGTAGATTATTTGATGATACAGATAAAAAACAGTTTCATTGCGAAGGTTGTGACATTTGTAGGTTTGTTACACCCCATTAATTAAATAGTTTATGAATTATTATATAAGGAAGATTTTAATAATATTGTTTAGCTCAATTTAAGCCGATTTTTGAAAAAACTAACTCACAAGCCTGAAGATTTTGCTCATAGATGGCAGAGAAATCTAGGCTTCTATTTAATCTCAATGTTTTTATAAAACTTATAATGGGTATAGAATGAATGCAATAATAGGGTATAGAATATGTTTATTGGCCAGATATGAAAATAAAAAAATATGTTAAGAAAATGGTTTTGAACCTGTAATACCTGTGTTAATATGTCCTATAAGAAGAACAAATTAGGAGCTTTGCTGAAAAAAAATCAGCAGTGGAAAGAGTTAGTTTAACTCCAGGTCAATGATGTATATATACTTCTAAATTAGCGATTTATCAATTAAAAGTGTGCATACATAGAAGTTAGCTGTGTAGCACCATTTTGTGGTTGCACGTTGTCTAATTTTCTTATCGATATTATATGAATGCATATTAATGTTATTTAATTAAAGTGAAACCACAAGATAACCATACAGCTGACTAGGCATAAAAAAAATGAATCAATAATTATGCTATTCGTATTTGAACAAATTGAATAATTTGTTATTTGTATTTTTACAAAAAATTAAATCATTATTCAATTTAATTCGTTGAATATTTGATTCAAAATTTTTTCTTAAAGTAATAGATTATATTTTGCAAAATAATTATAAAAAGTGTGGATGTTTTAAAATGACACCTTGAGGATTCTAGTAAAACTAAGCTAATTCTCATTAGCATATTAAAATTTACAGAAAATAACAAGCGAAATAAAATTTAATGATTTCATATCCTTATCTGAAAAAAAATTAAAAATAATTAATTAAATTATATATTTTAGCAGAAATGTGTTATTTTTTCAACTTTAACTCTCTATTGCGTGACATATTAAGATATTTAAAAATTCTTGTCTTTATAAGGCCCTTAGTAAACTAAAAATAATTTTAAAAAAAATTTTTTTAAACTAAAAAAAATTTCAGTATGTTTATTTAAATACACAGTGCTTGTAAAAAGTATCATATTTTTTCAATTTTAAACCTATTACAATAAAGAAATATATTTTTATTATTTGTTAAATAATGTAAAAAAACAAATTTATATTAATTTTCATGAAATAATTTAAAACAATCTTTTTTATAGTAAAACATAATGATACACCATATTTGGTACTATTCACTTTCTTAACCAATTTACACCCAGGGGTTTTGCATCGCACCTTTTTACTATATTTTGACCAATGTGCTATTAAATCCTGTCTTATTTCTTTCTGCATAATAAGACTTGTCTTCCCCTTGCTAGATTTTTCTTTATATATTTGGTGTCAATTGGTATTCGTTTTTTTATGCTAGCCTTCATATTTTTGTTATATTTACAGAGTATCTGCTATTGAAATTTTAAATGTTAATAAAGGCATCTGTTCTTTTACCGGTACCTTTAAAACTACAAAATCTCGCCTATACATTAACCAATTTATGAGCATTATCAAGTATATGGAATACTATACGGTGATACCATTTACGTGATCTTATGTAAATCCACGCTCCATCTTTTAGAATTCTTTTTCGTTGGGAATTTTATAATTTATAGAAAAATCTATGGAAAAATTAATATAATTTTATTAAGTTCAAAAGTTTACGATAAAATCATCTGAAATTTTTAGGATAGGTATTCCAAACATGATAGAATGCATTTCAGGTAAAATCCGATTTTCAAATTAAAAAAAACGCGCTCAAAATGTGATTTAAAGTTGAAAATAAGACATTGCCGCTAACATACAACAATTAAATGTTTTGCTTTGCAGTATTTCATTCAACATTATATAATAAAACTTGATATACTTTAGTGTGATTTTTTAAAATATTTTGTTGTAATATGAAATCAGAAAATAAAACCTAAAGATATATAATAGAAGAAAATAAAATAAAGTAAATTAAAACTCTAGAAAAATTTAATAATACTTTATATTTTTACTTACAATACTAACGAAAAAATAAAATCGAATATAAGCAAATATTTACAAACAATTTTGAATAATACGAATAATTTCAAATACGAATAATACATATAATTTCGTACACGAATAATTCGAATCGGATGATTAAAATTTACTATTCGACGAATATTTTTATACGAATTGAAAATGAATAAATCGTTTTAGGCCTACAGCTGACACCTATGTATGCACATTTTAAAAAGACATTTAATACATGAATCGTTAATCTATTAGTATCCTCCAGATTTAGTCATAAATTAAAAAAAATCACCCATAATTCAGCACGTATTAGGAACGAATGCTTTGAAAGATTTTTCATAAAAACGATGCACTGATCTCATATTTAGATATAGTCATCACGAATTTTGCTACTTTTAAAAACACTAATTCTGAAGTTTAAAGCAAATATATAAAGAGTAATAGATATTTTATTTTGACTTCAGCTTGCTTTTATCCGTTTGTTAATTTTCTAAAATTGGCATCAAGACAGAACGAAAAATATAGAAGCATTTAAAAGTAATTTATAAAACTGAAAAATTTTATTTTTTTGATCCAAAATACTTAAATGAGCAATTGTATTATACAACATTAAATTAAATTCTAATATTCAGTCCAAATATATCACCTATACTATATATATTTACCTATATCGCAATTTAGAAATATCCCAAAAAAACGTCAAATTAATATGTTACAATTTTAAATTAAGATAAACGAAATTATACTCAAAGAGGTTTAAAAAAAATTAGTTCACGTCATCGTTATCAATATCGTACATAGCTCTGTTGTTTACGTCAGAGAGCATATGCGCTATATATCAAGGATCACGGATCTTACATTAATTAAATATGAACTCTTTAATATTTAATGTTTAACTTGTTCCCGCTCTTACATTAAATATGAAAGCTGTAATATTTAATGTTTAACTAGTTCCCGCAAGTGTTTTTTTTATATAATTTTCGTAAAATATAATAAATTTTTATTATATTCATTATAAATATAGAATAACATTTTAATAAAGAAAAATTTATGAAATTTATCGATATTTATTTAATTTACTGTATTTTTTTCAAAAAAAAATAATTGTTTTGATTTAAATACTTTTCCTCATGTCTAAAGAGGATATAAAATATAATAATTTTTTTAAAAACTTTTTATTCTACTTCAAAACACAAAATTTAATTCTCCAGGGTGTAGCTTTGATACTTTTATAGCGTAGTAGCGATAACATTAAAAAAGAAATCAAATAGACATGTGACATCTTTAAATATGTTAGAGAATAGTTACGGGTGAAAATGTTCAAGTGCAAGGATTTAGCGATTGCTGAGCAAGGCAAGGCAAGGCTAGGCTAATACTAAGCGCGCTTCTACACTTGGAAATAGAAAAGGTCAAAGGTCTTTCTCATACGAGGTGAGTTGTCATCTTCAATAGACTCCTTAGGGCATGCCCACTCAGATTATAGCGTCTTAGGGAAGCATCGCGTTTTATAAAAAGATTACTTTTTCAAATGTAAAAAAATTTATTAAAATTTAAATGTAATGTTGCGCCTAACATCTTTTGAGAAATAGTTATTATTTAATACATTTTTTAGGGTAATCACACACCTTTTAAACGGAAGAAGGATTTTCTGAGATGATTTTAGATCTAGAAAAAGAAAATTGAAGTTTCCGAGGAAGGAGTTTTATCATTCTTTTCATCTAGATATTAATATAAAAGTAACTAGATGATATATAATTTTACATTGAATCCTTTTCCAAATTTTTTTTATCATAATTAAATTTAATTATGAAAACCGACATTAAAAGCACAATGCGTTGATCTAGTATTTAGTATCAATTATAATAGTACAGACAATATTGTCTAAGCGACGTGTCTGTTAATGGGAGAGTATACAAAGACAAGAAAATAATATACCAACTATCTCCTACCTACCCTGGATTGGAACGATTTCCACGATTTATTTATCGGCTAAATGTCTAATTTGTTCCTAGGGCACATACTGCCTATAGGTTTAAACGACTTTTTATAATTTTTTAAATTTTTTAAAATATTTATATCTGGTTACCAAACATATCCACCACATTCAAATTGTTGGATTTAAGATCATTTGCCGGAATGAATTTTTTTAAACCGGGACCCGTCCGGATTCTTATTTATTTTTTCCTTCAAATATATATTTTTTAAATGGTCATTTTGATAAGAAAAATATGGTTTTATTTTAACAAGGTTTTTTTATAAAATTATTGTTTGATAATTCCTTTTAAAATTAGATGCTTGAAAAGCAACCGATATATTTACTAAAACTGAAATTAAATAATATACTATACCTTAGAGGTCAGCAATGGGTGGGTTTAACCCGACGCCTTTCTGCTCATTGCCATTGTTTTTTTTAAATTCCTCCTCCCGCTCATTTATCAAAAAAAAATTATTTTATTGGTAGGTTTAGTTTTTTATTTATTTATTTAGTTCAATGTATTTTTTTTTTTGACTTGAACTCATAAATTATGCAATATTATGAAATAAAAATATAAGTTTTAATAAATATAAGTTTTGTCCTGCTCATTTAGCTTGAAAAATATTTCAAATTCAACTGCCCATCGCCCGCCCACTCCCTCTCTTAGAATAAACGGACTGACTAAAAAACCCGCCAATTGCAGACATCGACTATATCTTATTCTTATAATTTAACCTTTATAATACCCCTCTTGTATTTACTCAGCCCCAAATTGTTATTCCATTTACCGATTTCTCACCATTATCCTTCATAGGCCATTTTTTAAAACCTTCAATTAACAGAAGTTAAAAAAATTTTGAAGGTATCTTAAAAGTCCATCCCACAAATCATTCTCTTTATATAATATAAAATTTAAAAACACAAATTTGAAGCATGTACACCGCACCCCTTTCATTTTTAAAGTATCACAATAAAAATGCCCACAAAATCGGAGGTCTAGGCTTACCCAATACAGGGTTTTTTGTATAAAGTTGATGATGCAATTCTATTTAAATAATATCAATCTATAATTTAAGAAAGTATTTAATTTTCGAAGAAAATTATTATTTAAATTTTAAAATCATAAACTTTATCATTTTTTTTAAAAAAATCTAGGATTGGGGGAAGAGAAAATTATTACCACGACTATGTATGCGGTATGTGTTATCAAAAAGGGACAGTCCATAAAGTTTTTATTTTTTTCATTTTCTCTTGTTAGCTTTAATCACTTTACAACATTCTACCCCGACTCATTGCTATCAACATAATATTGATATTTTATTTTAATAAATCTTAAATAAGAATTGTTTAAAATTTATATGGTTGGTATTATTGTAAAAATTATATTCGAATTATTTTTTAAAAAAAACGCTAAATAAATGATTTCAATTTTAAAAAATATCACAACCAGTTGAGCGCGTTTTTATAAATTTGAAAAAATCTTATTTTACTCCAAAAATATATACCGCTATGTGTATTATAACCTATCCTATAAATTTAGGACAATTTAGCCATGAACCTTTTGAGTTATTATATATATAATGAGCAATGCGCGGATTTCTCGCCTACCTTGATATTTTATCGTGTCAAAGGTTCCCCATTACATGTTCCCTCTAATTTTTTTCCCGATCTTTTGTGCAACTTTTTCTTTATTTAACGGCCTAGTTTATTTTACTCTATTCACCCACTACTAGTGCTGTTTTTTTTTGTTAACGAGACCTGATATCTCAACATCTACACTTCCGTCATCTCACTGATGGTTATTATTTTTTAGTTTTTTCCCCTTAAAACTCAGGTCTTGGAACCGTAGCCTAGAAACAATTAACCTACCTTTCTTTATTTTTATTTTTATATTTAACGTATAATTGTTTGTATCATAAATAAACTTGATCAGTGCTATGTTTTTTAGACACGGATTTTTGACAAATTTTTAAAAAAGCCTATTTTGACGGTTTTATATTCCACCATGTTTCGAACACTTACCTTGTTAATTTCAGATAATTTCGCCATGATATTTTATATATTTTTTTAAAAATTTATATAAGAAATATGATTATTTAAATTAAGATGAATTCAAAGGTTCAAGGCGTAATTTTTTCTTTATATTCACGAGATAGTTACTCTATTCATGCTGGAGATTTGGGTATAATCACGTCTTAAACCATTTAAGGTTTAATGATTTGCTAAATAAAAACCAGGTTTGTTAAACTGTTACAGATATTGCCATTTAAACGGATCCCATTCACTCATTCAATTATGATTAAAATATTCTTAAATATTAACATAAAATTGTGCAATTTTAATTGAATAACATTGTTAAAATCTTTCGAAGGAGGGCGAACACGCAGGTTAATCTTTTATGAACATAGTTTTTTTTAATAGTGGCCAAGGACTGCCTCAAATTATTTTTACATCAATTATACCATAATTAAGGGTTCCATTCCATTTTTTTTAAAAAAAAGAACCATTTATTCAGAAATTTTTTTAATAAATTTATCGTATTGAAGGAATGACAGATTATTCGATTTTAAAACATTTATGAGATTACTGGTGCATAAAAGATTTAGGCCATGGATAAAATATTGCATATAATTACATGACCTATGTTATAATCATAAGGCAATTATATTTATTTTTAATTATATTATGTATGGGTTATACATTTTTTTAAAATGCCCATGAAATTTATCTACCATCTTTAAGAACAACTTAAATTACAGTTATTAAAAAAATTGAATATTTTTTTTTAATGTGTAAGCACATAAGCTATTATTTTGAAAAATTTGTTTGTAGGTGTTCCAACATATGACTAGTTTCGTCCTAATAGGACATATCAGATATATGTTGAAGTTAGTATTTAGTCTAGAACGTTGGCATTCACAGTCATCTGTGCTTACCAATGTACACTCTCCTACTTAAGAAAACGTGAATTTTTTTTTTAAAATATATATAATCTTATAAGTGCATTGAAAATATTGGGAGATCGCCCTGTCCAGTTTGTCTAGAGGATCTTCACACTTCAACAATACCTTGTATAGTCAACAAATGCGGTCATATATTACACCAGTAATTTACAATAAATGAACATATATTAAATAATAATTTTTATAATAAAAATCATATCCACAGTTAGAAAGATGTCTTATCAAATTTTACGATTTTAAGTATTCTTATTACTCATTATATACTGTTGTTAAACGGCTCGATTTAAGCCGATTTTTAAAAATGGCGAACTCAATATTTTATCCAGAAAAATATTACGCAAGCCTGAAGATCTTTCTCAAAGATGGCCCAAAATTTCGACATCTATTAGCAATATTTCAAGGTTATTGCAAATATTTTGGCTAAAATATTGAGTTTGTAAAAATCGGCTCAAATCGAGTCGTTTAAACACTAGGTTATTTATACCTTAAAGTTAGACTTCTAGATTCTTTATTGTAAATTTAATAAAACCCTAATACAAATATGGGAATTAATTTATCCGGAGCTTAATATTTCATCATTTTAAAAAAAATATTTATTCCTATTTCAAAGCTGAGGAAATTTGCTCAGATTTCATTATTAATATAAACTTTAATGGATATGAAAATGACAACAAAATTATTGGACAGTTTTTAATAAAATAAGAATGAGCAGATATATTAATTATTTGAGTATTTACTTTAAATGGGTTGTATATAAATAAATTGGTGGTTTTTAAAAATTTTGACAAGTTATTTATTAATTTCCAATTTTTTCTATTGACTTGGCGTTGTGTAGGATTTAAAATAAATGGATTATATGGAAAATAATTTGTTAGTTTTAAATTTTCTGCAAGTTATTAATTAATTTTCAAGTTTTTTTATTTAATTTTGGTAAAATTTACGTTCGAAAAAATGTAACGAATTATATTTCCTTAAATATAACGAGAATACAAGTTACTTTTTAAAATATGTTAAATAATAATATATATCTCATTTATCTTCTTCGTATGATGATTTCTCAAATTCGAAATTACCATTTCATTTATTAAATACACACCTTTACGTACAATTATTTTAAACATTATATTGTGTTAATTAATGTTTTTTTGCGGTACAAATATATGTATTATGATAAAAATTTTCAATGCTGATAGTTACTTTTTCACAGGATGTGAACCCTCCTTCTATAAAAATAGGTTCGGGTTTAGGTTCAGTGAAAAGTCAGTCCCTGAACCCGTTCGGGTTCATTTGGGTTCAGGGTTTGAGACCAGAAAAATAATAACTTATTAAAATTAGTTAAAATAACAGAAACATCATTTTTTATAAATATTATTTGAATTAGTAATGCCATAAAAATAATTTATCATAATTATAATATATTAGTGATTTTGTACTTCTCTTGTCTTACTATCAATTTAATAATCTACAAACAACAATATCCTAAAATAGATATTATATTTATATAAAAACTTTTAAAATCTGCTTTGCTGGGTAAAATTTAAAATGACCAACTCTTAAATATAACAAAAATGATTCCACCAAAATATGATAAAAAAATGTTTTTTTTTAAATTAATATATTTTTTTGAAATAACAATTGTTTTAAATAGGAAATCCTTTATAAGTGAAAATCGTAAATTAAATGAAAGTTTAAAATAATAAAAATAAATTTTTTTAAAATTAAAAATTTTTTTTTAAAAAAAAAGGCTTGTACTCTGAACCCGAAATAAAAAAGGGTTCAGGTTTGGATTTGGGTTCAACGAAATACCGAGGGTTTGGGTTCGGGTTCTCATCCTTGCTTTTTCAGTGCAAGTATTTTTTTTTTCATTTAAATTGCTTTGATTAAAATATGTAAAAATTTTGTATGATAAAAAAAAATTATATTATAAATGATGGGTTATATAAATTATTTATAAAGTAAATTGCAACGTAACTAGCTGCCACTAATAACTCGAATAAGTTACTTAAAAATAGCATAAATTATTATTTAAATTTTATTTTTCTCATTCACTATTATAGAACGTGCTTAAGAATTTTAAAGACAAATAGGTAAACATAATATTTTATAATTTAAATTTTATGTTTATATATATTTTTAAAAATAATCGCTTTTCTGAAAATTTTTAGTGTTTTTCGTTTGACTTACCATATATTTAATGTCAGAAACTTGGAACAGAAAAGTTCGAGAATGGAACCTTGATAAAATCGATGGAATGAGAACTGAACGAGAACCATATGTTATAGGAAAAATATCTAAGGGCATATTCCCATTTTATTTCCCTATTCTATCGACTAAACAACTGATGATTTTTAAAGTACTTCTTCTTCTTCTCCGTTTTATGGCGATTTCCAGGTTTACCCGGGTAGGCCAGTTTTCCCTCTGATTTTTCTTTTCCATTTTTGACGGTCCTGAGCCTCAATATTTTTAAGATTCATGTTTCTCATATCCGCCGCTATCACATTTGTCCACGTCATCTTGGATCTTCCTCTAGGTCTTGATCCTCCTACTTCCATCATTGTGCATCTCTTTACCCAGTCATCTTTTGTCATACGTTCCACATGCCCAAACCATCTTAGTCTATTTCGTCGCATTACCATTCCAATCATTTCTATACCCAATCTTGCTCGAACCTTGCTAGTTTTTCTGTCTCTCAGAGATACCCCACACACCCATCTAATCATCCTCATCTCTGTCTGTTCTTTCTAATTTGGCTTCGTGAGTCGCTTTCATTGCCCATGTTTCGCCGTCATAAACTAAACAAATTCTCACACAGCTTACTTAAACTTTCCCCTTTAACTTCAGAGAGACTTTTTTATTTGTAAGAATAGACTACATCTCTCTAAAGTACTATAATACCCAAAACGCATTCTATTAAGCTAAATCTGTTTTTTTTCTTTTAATCACGTTTATATTTATAATTCCACAAAATATCTAAAATGTTATAATTTAAAATTAATATCTCAAATCTTTTTAAATAATAAAAAATATTCCCATAACTAACAGGCACGGAACAACGCTTTTTATTTTGAAGGGATCACAAAAATAATCTCCTTCCCGGTTCCTGATATAAATGCGTGATTCTAAGATATTTTATTTAAAAAATATATAATGTAAATTTTTAAAAAATATTCCTAGTGATAATAATTGTCCCTTATGCAGAACACCCATGATTACGGATGAAGATTTGGAAAAATTAACATCCGCTCAGCTAGTACTGGAAACACGCGTTGAAATTCTGTGCTACAATTGCGGACACGTAAACTCATTTATTATAATTATTTATTAAGTGCTATGGACATTCCGTTACTTTTAAAAATTGAGTAACCATAATACGTTGCTTTTTTTACAAGCAATAATGCAATATCTTCCTTTTTTTATACTCCTAAATTAGGGTTTAACATAAATTAAATTATATTTTTAACTCGGTATAATTCGCTTATAGCACCTTCCCTCTTTTTAGCGTTAATTATTTTGGGTTGCCAGAAATCGGATAAATTTACACATTTTTAAGTTTTTTAAAAGTCTAACTAAGGGAGGGTTTTTTAGGCAAAATATGAATTAACACTAAAAAGAAATACCCTGGGGGGGGGGGGGTGAATATTTATTAGATTATTATATTTATAGGGAAATCTGCTGGGGAGGTTAGATCCCTTGTTGGGATGAGTCTCCGTTTTTGCTGAAGGTTTTAATAAGATTAAGTGCCTCTTTTCCGAACATCCCTAGGGTGTAGTACTATGGGTTACAGTGTTCGTGATTTGAGTTATATGAGAAACTAACAAATAGCTTCATTTATAGATCGGTACAGATCTCAAGGTCATAAATATTTTGAATATATTGAAATAGTTAATAATTAAAAAAAAATTGATGTGCAGGTAGGGTGATTAACTATATAATTTAGCTTAGGAAAATCGTTGAGAGTTTTGTTTAAAAAGTATTGATAGCTTTTTCTTCATCAATGGGGGTCCCGAGATGTGCCTTTGATGGTCATAATGGAATGAATGTAGGATTGAGAAGCATATCTCACACTTTAGATGATTGAATGAAAGAATTGTAATATATGAGAGTTTATCAATTATGGGAGGAGTGGATTTGATTGTGGGATAATTGCCAACAACGATATCATCACTCAAATACCAAAGATTTAAGGTAATTGAAGGTAGATTGTATTGATTATTTTGTGGATTCCGATGCAGAAAAGAGAGGGATCTTGGGGGGGGGGGATCTCCTTGTTGTATACCCTCCTGAGATTTAATTATATTATTGTTTTTTTAAAAAAGGGTTTGAATAGCTATATATAATATATATGTAAAATGTTTTGGATATTTGTTACAAAACAATGGGACAAAATGTTGTCGTTTTATGGTATTAAAGACATTTTGAAACTATATGACCAGGAATGCTATTTTCCCGAACCCTAATTGGAGAGGGGGCAAAAATGAGAAAATAGATTCCATGATGCAATGATATAAAATGGCTTTTCGGAAGAAAGAATCGCTATTGGATGGATCCCTCCATCCTTTTCAAAATGCTATTAGGCGAGCACCGAAAAGAATAGGAATGATGGGTGGAAGAGCCCTATTGAATAGTATAGTTAATTACCGATAAGGTTAGTTAGATGTCAGGATATCTTATATAAAGATAGCACGAATGCCACCTAGGCCTCCAGTCGAATATTTTTTAAATGATCTAACAGCCTTAATCGTCTCATCGATGATAATTTCAGGAGTTATATTATTTTGTTTTGGGCAGGCGAACTCGGGGCTGCCTGAAGGGTATTTTTATAACAAGACTTTTAAAGTGGACTCGTTGCTGGTGACCAAAGAGTCTTGAGAAGTTATAGAGCGAGGGCTAAGGTTATGTTAAGGTTATTTATTTTATTTTGCAGCATTTTTGTCCTATAAGCAATATAGAGTGATGGAGTTTCCTGAGTATGGCGTACAGAATCTTGTATATTATCTGTACTGAAGAGAGATGGTGAAGTTTTAATAAATTTGGATAATGGAATATTTTGGTATTTTGAGAATAATATAAGTAAAACTTAATAAGTTTTTCAAATTTTAGATTTTCGGGATTGGATACAGTTAAAAAGATCAATATATGGAAGGATTCAGCAAAAGAATTATGGGCCCCACGAGGTGCAAGAGATAGCTTGAATGTTTGGTAGAGTTAAGAATCCACTGACCCACAATTGTGAGTTGGATATTTAATGTATTGATGATGTATACCTCCAGGCTTGCGTAATATTTTTTGGCTACAATAGGGTTAGCAGTTTTTAAATATCGAGCCTTTTAACAAATATAGATAAATTTATATCTTCCAAAAGGATTACAGCTACTAATTAAATAAATTTTTTAGAAAACAAAGTGTAATTGTTTTTTTTACAAAATGTTTGTCGTTTTGAGAAATTTTAAGCGGGTTATAACTAATTCTATCTCCACTTTTTATAATTTTACAGGCGAGAAATTTTAAAAATTAAGTTTCTATATTTTCAATATATTTTATAAATATTTCGGATTTTTTTTATATAAATAAGAATAGTATAATTATAAAAAATGGATTTATTTAAAAAAAGTTAATTTTAACAAAAATTGGGGAATAACCTAATCCTCAGGCGACAATATATTAAAGGGTTACATAAAATTTAATACATCAATCTTATTATCAAACCAGCTATTAATTTCATTCTTAAAGAAATTAGAATTTAAAAATACAAAAAATAATTCTCATTTTTTTCTTCTCTCTCTAGACTTTTCATACGTTAGCTAATGAAAATGGTTACACGTGCTTGGATTGCCACTCAACTCATACGGGATTGATAACATAAATAATTTTTTATTAAAAAACTTCAGTTCACTTAAAAAAATTGCATTTTTTAATATTGATTTTCATAAAATATACTTCTCGCCTGCATGTAAAAATTGATATATTATATAACCATTTTGTATATTATAAAATTATATCATAATTAATATACGCAAATGAATTAAAACTTCTAGTTTATTTTTTTACCTAAGATAATATTTAGTCAATATAAATAATAGAATTATTAGTTATAAATCAGGATTCTAAAACTAACTCTGGTCTTAACCTGTGCCGAATCTTGAACATATTTAGGTTTATGAAAATCTGGACCAGATCCGAACAAAATTTATTCGAAAATAAATATTTAATTACGCCCAAATTTAATTAATTTGTTTTTTATTCCTGAAGCATTGAGGATCTTCAAACTTTTATATGTATTTATTTTTTCAAAATAGCTTACGAATTACATACCTCATTCTATTCTATCGATAGTTTTGGACTAGATCTGAAATTGTAAAGAAAGGATAGAAGGATTAATAACAAGATATGAGGAGATTTTCAGAGAAGAGTTAGGATGTTTAAAAGATTTTGAACCAAAGTATTGTCCAGTGAGAAGAGTACCATATGAATTGAGAGATAAGGTAGATGAAGAATTAAATAAAGGGTGGATAGACAAGTAGATAAGTTCCAATAAGGAAGCCAAGCAGATGTGAGATTATTCGCCAATTTTAGAATAACCCTGAATCCGTGGATAATGGAGGTTAAATATCCATTACCAAGGATTGAAGAAATATTAGCGGCCTTGAAAATGGGAAAATATTTTTCCAAATTAGATTTTTCAAACTCATACTTACAATTGCCGGTTAGTATTCAGACCAGTAAGTTATTAACTTTAACCACGCCAAAGGGGTTATTAGCGTTTTTAAGATTACTATTTGATTTAGGTATTCCAAAGAACTATGGCTTGTCAGGGATTAGTAGGAGTTTTTTTTACATAGATAATGTATTGGTAACAGGAAAGAAATGAATAACATGACGAGAGATTAGAAGTGCGAAAAAGAATAAGAGAGAAGGGTCTGAGAGCAAGTAAAAAGAAGAATATACTTGGGGTGAAGTAAGTTAAATATTTGGGACATAAAATAAAAGGAGATAAGGTAGAACCGTTAAATGAGAATATAGAAAGTATTAAGAAGATGAGAGAGCCTAGGAACAAAAAGGAAATACAAACCTTTTTGGGCTTGATAAATTATTATCATAGGTTTATAAATTAATTTGTAGAATTAGCTAGTCCGTTATATCAGTTGGTAAAGAAAGATATTAAATTTAAATGGGGAGAGTAGTTTAATTAAACTTAAAGAATTAATAGGAAAAAGACCGATTTTAAATTGTTTTAATAGAGATAAAGAGATGATATTAGCAATGGATGCTTCAATGAAAGGAATTGGGGAGCATTATTACAGTTAGTGAATGATTATAAAAATCCAGTTATATATTTTTCGAGGAAATTAAAACGAGCAGATAAAAATATTAGGCCATAGAGAAAGAAGCGTTGGATGTAATTTTTGGACTATTAAAGTGTAGAGAATATGTTATGGGTAGAAGGTTTACGATTTGGACACCATAAGCCATTAGTAGGATTATTTAAAAGGGGACACAAAGAGATGATGTTTTCCACAGGGTTACAAAGATGGATCATAATGGTAGAGAGGTTTTGGAAATTAAATATAGGAAAGGTAGAGAGAATAATTTTCCGGATGTGATGTCGAAAATGGCAATAAGGGTAGATAAGGAAGAGGATAAAGATGGAGTAGAGTAAGTTATAAATAATCAAATGATAAGAAGGATAACCAAGGTAATTAAAAATAATAAATTTATATTGGAAGAAATAAGAGAAGGGACTTTAAAGGATAAAGAAATGAGTAGGATAAAGACTGTTTAACGGAGAAAGAGAGATGGAAAGGACATATAAAGAAAGAATTGACAAAGAGGACGATTGTATAGGGGATGGAAGATTACTGATTCCAAAGGAGATTAATGCAAAAAATAGTTAAGTTGCTACACGCAAGTTATCAGGGAGTAAGGTGAAACGACTAGGAAAGGAGTATGTGTGGTGGCCAGGAATGAATGGGGAGATAGGGGAAATAAGTAGAAGATGTGAGACGTGTGATAAATGGACTAAGATGCCGGTAATAAGGGTAAGTGGGGACCGTCAAAGGGGCCAGGTGAAAGAATACATATAGATTTTGTCGAAATAAATGGGAAAAACTTGAATTTTCAAAATGGATCGAATGGGAAAGGTGATGGGGTGAACGAGTGAAATAACCATAGAGAAATTAAAGTTATGGATGGGCACAGGGATTCAAACCGAACCCGGAGAAGATAACCTGGGTTTTTGGGGAAAAAGCTGAACCCAAACCGAACTTGAACCCCATTTATAAAATTTTCAAAACCCCGAACCGAACCCGGGAATTTTATTAGAACCCTATTTTAACCGGGTTCAGTGTATTGTTTAAAATCATATATGATATTTGTAAAATTTTAAATGCAAATATTAACAATTTAATTGAGATTTTATAATATTTTCAAATTTCCAATTAAGTGTTAATAAATTTTAAACAACTTTATTCATTTATGCCATTTTTAAAATTTGCTCAAAGATTCCTATTGGAGTGTAATAAATTTTGAACAATTAAATTCATTTACGCCATTTATTTTTAATTTTTAACTTATTCTCAAAGATTATTAATTAGAAGAAAATGAAAGTGAACAAGTCAAAGTAAAAATTATTATTGGATATTGTTAATTTAAAAAATACGTCTAAATAAAATTTTTAATATTGATACATGACTATGCTTTGTATTTTTAACTATATTTTGCATAAAAAAAATATTTATTTTTTATACCATTTATGTCTAGTTTTTTAATTATGATTTAAATATAGAATTTTTTTTTTATCAATTAAAAAATTCCTAAACCTGAGCTGAACCCGAAACCAAACCCGGGTTCAAAAACATTACCATGAACCGATCCGAACTCACCTATTTTTTTTAAACCGAAGCGAATCATGGCAAAAATTTTGCCGGGTTCGCATCCCTGGATGGGTAGATACGGGTTAATAAAGACTGTAGTATCAGACGGAGGGCCGGCATTTATAAGTGCAAGGTTTAGTAAATTTTGTAGAGGTTTAGGTATTAAACACATTTTATCACCACCATATCATCCAAGTTAGGATGGTAGGGTTAGTGAAGTCGAGAGAAGGGGGGGGGAAGAAATATGGTTTGGTGGTTGTAATACAATAATAGTATAAATGATACGGGCAGGACACCTTCCGAGATGTTTTGGGAAGGAGAACAAGATTATTTTTAGATACATTAAAGAAAAACGATAAAGAATGGAAAGAAAGAACAGAGTGTTTAACACAATTTGTGGAAGGCCAGGCGGTATGGGGAATGTTTACGGGAGTAAATAGATGGGGGAAAGGAATAATAAATAAAGTGACAGGAAGTAGAACTTATTTAGTATTGGTTAGTATGGCCAGGCATTAGAATTAATTAAGGAGAAGGGAATAAGCAGACAAAGAAGTTTATCTATAATACATCGGTTAAACCAAAATAAATTTATAGGCATACCTTATAGTACACTTAAGCCTACATTAGAATTAGGGTAAAGGAAGGAAGATTATTTTATTTGCTTCATGTTGAAAATTTTTTATAGGCGTACGTCATAGTACAAGTTAGCCTACATTTCTATTTAAGGTAAAATTATTTTACTTGGTTCTGGTTGAATAATCTTTTATAGACCGTTGTCAGAACACATATAAGCCTACATTAATTTAATTGTTCTAATAAAAGAATAAAATAAGTGTTCATCATAGTACAGATAAACCTAAATTAAATGGTAATAAATTTAGAAGAACACAGAATTTCCAATGTAAGAAATAACAAAGATTTTATTAAATTAATTTTGGTAAATTGGAAATTTTAAAAGAATATAATCTTATTAGATTAAATTTTCTTATATAAAATTGAATAATAAAGTAGAATTAGAAGTGAGAGTTAAAATGATGGATTTTGATAGAATTATCACAATGGAATAATGATAATTGTGAATTCATATGAAGGGTTATGAAGGATACATATGGAAGATGAATTTTTTTTAAAAAAATTATGGGGAAAATAATTATATAATAGAGAAGAGTTAGAAGTTATGCAATATTGAAATGAAAATAAAGTAAAGCTAGGAATTAAAGGTTATGAATGTTATGTATCGAGAGGGTTAGTTGGAAAAAACTTTTGGGGGTAATTATTAATTATTTGTAGGGAGAAATAAGGATATATTGAAGAATCTAGAAGTATGGCCAGGCAAGAGGATCATTTAAGGAGAAGAGAATTAGAAGAGTAGAAGTTCATCAAACAGTTAGACAAATAACGAAAGATTGTATATATATTCGTATTCATAATCTATTTGGAATTGGGTTAATATAATATAACTATATTTGTAAGAGTCGAAATATAAAATTGAATTATTGATTTGGGAAAATTCGACAGAATAGATTAATTGAATTGAGCGTGGGATAAATAAATTAATTCGGCGAATAATTCGAGGAAATATTCAATTCGAAGGATTTAGATTGAATAAGAAAATAAGTAGTAAATGACTTACGAAATATACTATAGGAGTATTCATCGAAGAACAACTCGATTATTGAAATTATTCGAATTGGAAACTGGAGGAAAGAAAGAGGAGAGGGAAATTGAAGGAAGATTTAAAGGAAAGGAGATGAAAAAGGAGAAGAAGGAAGTAAAAAGAAACATTGAGATTAAAAGAAAGAAGGGAAGGATTTTTAAGGTATTAATAAGGGACAACATATGAAGACTGATAAAAAAAATCGATAAATTATATAGTTCACTAAAGATAATAGAAGTAGAGAAGCAGATGACAAAAATTAGAACTTAATTATATTTTATCTATTTTATATTTAAATTCTCCTTTTTCTACATCTTAATTAATTAGTTACAATTATTTATAATTTTAAGTTATATTTTTT